AATTCAGATACTGCTCCATACAGTTACTGTTAGAGTGAGACCCCAGGAAAGTCTGAAATGCACCATCCCTTTATTGATTCAGTGAAAAAATGCCCTTGGCTGATGCTTAAAATTCCATTACCATATCTCCCTCTGTTCTCAAGTGTCTGATATTTTTCCTCATAGAAGCTCCTCAGAAGCAAGCCAAGTTTTAGGCCACCAGTGAAGTTATACTTTATGAGTGTCTGGGAAGGTTTTTATAGCTGAAGGAGAGGAAATGAAAAAGCTAAAGCCCTATGAGAATGAACAGGGCACAGCTGGGAAGATCAGGAAACTGGCCCTTTTCATGATTTTGCCCTGATTTTACAAATAATTGGCAAAATAAGCAAATGGCTCTTGCTGTTAAAATCACCACTAGCACCAGTTAAGAATTGTCCTGCCCATTGATGGTTCCTGGTTACACTTTTGCCCAAAAGAAAATCCCCAAAGAAAAAAAGATAGACACGGGAAAATGAAAGAGCAAGGTGTCATTTATGGCCAGCATTTGGGAAAGGAAAAGAAAGGAAGTACTACTGAGTGACCAGTTTATCATTTTAATGATATTCAATTGTAATAGACGGATGTAGTTGGTTTAAATTCTCTTAATGAACCTATGGCTTTAAGGGCTATTTTATGTCACTTTTTATAACGTGACTAAGAGACTCAGACAATTGCCTCAAGTTGCATCACTGTAGAAAATGAAGTGAGGGCTCAAACCTGAGTCTTCTTGAACTGAAGGCTCCAGTTCTTCCCCACGCTGCCTCACCAGAGTAGAAATATGAAATTCAGAATATCCCCTTTTCATGGGTGTCCAACACAGAACGGTCTCCTAAGGTATCTGCTGAGCAAGCAGAGTGGCGAAGGGGTCAGTGTCACTAGAGTAAAGAGGAACTGTCCCCCGAAAGAACCAGGGAGTGTGTTCCACCTTTAAAACTCAGCACATGCAGTGCAAAGCCCAGCAGGGGAGAAATCAAACTCTTTTAGGTCATGGCGTGCAGAAATAGATCATGCAACATGTTGTTCACCATTGAGTTTGGGTCTTGAAACCTTCCTGTGACAGCTGGAGCAAGCATAGAGCCAGAAGCACAGCAGTTAACCCTTAGGCCCTGGCATCGTAGAATTAAACTGCTGCTCTGCTTTTGCCCTGAGTGAGATGGACTCTCTAAACCTCAATTTTCTCACCAATGCACTGGTGAGAATAATACTTTGTTGGGTCGTGATTAAATGAGGTGAAGTATGGAGTATAAAAGTTCCCCCAAAGCATTGTATTTTTAAATTTTCCCAGCCTCTAGCTTTAAAATTCACAATCCAAATTCAACATGAAAAGGAGAATGTAAAAAGTCATTTGTGGTTTCTACACATCAGCATCCTGGACTGTGTTTGGTACACACAGATGTCTGCATGAGACATTAAAATGTGAGGTCAGGATAGCTACGAACACAGCCAAGAAAAACAAGGCTCAGTGGCACAGACAGAATAACAAAGAAAGAGGAGGGCAGGTTTTACGTGGTGTCTCTCTGGTGGCTTTCGTGTGGTTTCCTTGGAAGGCTGTGCCCTGGCATTTTGCAGAAATAGTGCAGTTGTTAGAGATGATTATAGGCAGCTGCCGTTTCCCAGAGACTGAGCTGTGTTTACTCATGGACCAGCTGACCGGCGGAGGAGGGCACAGTGGGTCTTGGTGTTTCCCACAGATTAGATCTTGTGAGAGCCAGGAGAACTGGCCTCGGGGCCCTGGGGAGACACACCAGACACAGTGGATCGTAGGGGAAGAACTCGAGCTCTGAGGTGGGAATGAGAGTGAGGTTGGCGGTAGATCAAGGAATCCATTCCAACAGAAGAGCAAACCTGAGCTCACTTGATAGACTAAAGTCTCCTACAATTCATGCTTGGAATCAATGAATATTAAGAAACCAACGGAGATCATCTGAGTTAAGAGGGGAAAACTTCCTTGAAAATTGTGTGGCTACTGAGTACTTACAACAAAGCCAGACGAAACGGACATGTGTTAGAAAACATGATTTCAAAGACTGAGGACTAACAAGGAATATATCACATTATGTTGCTTATGGTTGCAAATGACAGCATTTTAGATATAGAGTATTGGCTTAAATGACATAATTGCTGAAATTCATTTTAATTATTGTTCTTTAATGTGCCTACAGGAAAATTTTAAACGAATGTGTGCGTTGCATTCTATTTCTACTTCACATAGAAATTTTTATCCCTATTCTTGATTCTAGCTCACATTTATCTCCATTTTTATGCCCTGATTGCAGTGACATTCGTATCTTGCACTTTTCTACCCAGGGGTTTTGCTCTTGCTGTTTGCTCTATCAAGAATGCCCACTGCCCTACACCTGCTTGCAGATGGAGCTTATGTGACTGTCTGATTTCTTTTCAAATGCTCTCTCTCCCCTTCTCTCTCTCTCTCTCTCTCTCTCTCATACTGCCCTAATAACAAGTTGTTCCATTCTCTTTATGTTTGTCCTTTCTGCCTTCCCAGTCTTATAATGGGATCACATCCTACTAAACCCATCCTAACTTGAAGGTATTATAAGTCAAAAATGCATTTTCTATGCCTCACCTACTAAACATCCTAGCTTAGCAACAGCACACTGCAGAGTGTCAGGTCTGTCCACTCATGATTGTGTCCCCAGCCAGTAGCTGTGGCTTGCATGGCATCTCAAGAGAGCATCAAAGTAGATATTGCCAGCCTAGGAGAAAGATTAACATTCCAAATTTGAAATGCAGTTTCTACTGAACACCGCTGTGCCATTGTAAAGACAAATAAAACCCTAATTAGAAACATTAATTGGGAAACTATAGGTATAGTGTGAGCCTCATCGCTCCACTCCCTGAGCTCAGAACAGCATCTTATTCATAGCTGGCCCCAGGCAATATTTTCTGAAAGGTCAAATGCATGAGCCTTAAGCCCAGCTAAAGCTGTATACAATGTGCTTCAGCATGGTGGGCTCTGTTCCTTTCTTCCTAGTTGAGCAACGTAGAGGACCAGCTATGGTGCTCGGCACTTAGGCAACATCACAGGTGTCTTTGTTTCTGCTCCTAAAAGTTCTGAACTCAGTAGTTTTCATAGACAAAAGTGTCAGCAGAGTTTTGTGCTTTGCCTTGAGGCTTGTATTTCATTTCATTTCATTTCATTTCATTTCATTTCATTTCATTTCATTGTCTGTGCTCGGGAAATAACCCCACAGCTAGAAGAACAAGGTAACCTCAAAGCTCAGACTCTCTGTTTACCAGGAGCTGCAGATGGTTGTTGAAGGGGTGGTTCCTTTGTGCTCTTCTGTTTTTGAAAAACAGATTAACCTTTCCTGAGAACTATGATTATGGGCAGCATCCGGGCATGTATTTCTAGCTGCGGAAGATGCTAAATGAGGAGATGATTTGGGTCCAAACAGCATATGTTTTCAGAGGTTTTATGGGAGTACATCGGTGGATTACAAAAGCAACTTCTATAACAATATGTAGAACAAATTTTCATTTTTGTTTACATATATTCTATAAAGGTGCAAGGGGAAGACCAATCTACCCCAAACGGTTAACCTTACCTAGGTCAGGGTTGGAGAAGGGTGGGATAATAAGGCGCTACAAATATCTTTCTCATGTGCCTCCATATTATTTTATTTCTCTAAACATGTGTATGTTTTGTACCCTCAGAAATGAATAAAGTAACTTTCCTGAGGAAAATTTTAAAAGAAACATCACAAAGCTTCTCTGTTTGATAGGGTCTACTTCTCTCAATTTTGTACCTCAACTGTCCACTGCCAGGCTGGTCATAAAAACTCAAGAAGTGAAGATTTAGGTCACTTCTGGAGATATTGGTGACATCATGGCCCTTATACCTGCCAAGGACACTCATAAATCATGACTCCCATGCAGCAGTGAGGACTTTCTTCACCTCTTTATTCAGGAAGGCTATTGAGGGTACTCGTTATGACCCAAGTACTTTGTTTACATTGTCCTGTTTTATTCTTCAATCAGCCCTTTAAAAATAAGTGTTTTTGGATGTAAGTGTTTGGGGTGTAGAATCCAAGGTCCTGGAGGATTAGAAGAGTTGCCCAACATCACATCTGATAAGAAGCAGAGGGCGTGTTTGAGCCTCACCTTTTCCATGTTGTGCTAATTTCCCCACTAGTTGCTACCCTGTTAGGAGAGAGAAATCTTAGTAACATGTCCTGCAACTGGTTCTGTAGCTGAATGAAACTACTTTCAATGGCAGCCTAATTCTAGGCACCTGCGGAAAGGCTTCTGCTCTGTAAAAGCATTTTCCTTCCTTGGAGCCCAACAGTCCACCAGTAGAATCTGTCCCGTTGCATAAGGCATCCTGTCCCCTTCTCCAAATGTGAAGTCCCTTAGAAATGGGTGACATGTAACATCATTATACATCACAGACTATCATATGGGCAAGTTCATTATCTAGAAACTATATCAGCAAGGTAATGAGACATGGGGCCAGTGAGATTTGGTGGGGGTGGGAAGAAGTAGAAAAGGAATAATTACAGAGCACAGACAGGAATATCTGGCAGAGGTGTCACTGTGGGGCTGTGAATGACTAAGGAATGGGGAGAAGCCAACTGTGGAAAAGAAAGCTATCACTAACATAATACATCACCGTGCAGGTCAGGCCTGAGCTCAGTTACAATTCTGAAAAGTCATGGGTTGGCATGCGTGTAGCTCAGTCTCCATAGACTGCACTACCCATCCCAGTGATGAGTTCTGCAAACACTGCCGTCTGTCACCAAGGCAGTAGGGGATGTGATACCGTGGCTCAGCGAATAGAAAAGAAACGGTTCAGATGGCACATTCTCCCATGAGTCTGCTCAAAGTCTTTCTCAGATTGAAGGCCAGGAGCAGTTGGTTTACAGCGCTGATAGAACTTTTCTAGTACTAGATTTCTGGAAGCAGCCTAGACCAAAACCTCATTGTCTGTCTTACTGAAATGGGATGTTCTTATCTTCTCACAGAAAAAGCGCACACTGAAGGGCTCCATTGAACTCTCCCGAATCAAATGTGTCGAGATTGTGAAAAGTGACATTAGCATCCCATGTCACTATAAATACCCATTTCAGGTAAGTCCATCGGGCCTAAAGCAGATAGTTTCCCATTTCCTGGGCCATGGTTAAAATCCCAAGACAATGTAAGAGAATGTGGGAAAAGAACGATTCTGGTCCAGGATTAGAATTTAGACAAGCCCATAAGGAAACTTCTGCGTTGTTCTTCCTGTCAGTGACATTAATCCATTCACTTCTTCCACAAAACCTAAGCCAAAAATCTTGAAAAGGCTGTTGTTTTCCTCCCTGTTTCTCCCCTGCTTCAATGAAAGTCCTAATTACTCTGCTCCTGGGAGAAGTAAAAAAGCTCCTACCAACAGCCCCAAGCCTAGAGGCCACAAATTGCAATCCAGGGTTAGGAATTTCTTGCTGTTTCCAAGGGAAAAGTTCTTGCCTTTTACAATCTGAGGACTACCTGGAAATGGTTGCCTTATCCAAAATCTTAACTACTAGCAAGATGTGGTTATTTGCATTTAACTGCTGATTAATTAAAATTAAGTGGTTCTACTATTTTAGCTCCCAGTCAGTCTCATTGGTCACACTGCACATGTTCAGTAGCCATATGTGGTTGATAAGGGCTAGTATTGGACAGTACACATTGCAGAATATTTCTCATTGCAGAAAGTTCTATTGGACAGTGATGAAGGATGTCCCTTTGAAGTCTTTATCTGGCTTACCGCTCTTGACATTTACAGCTCCAAAGGAATTGAATTGATATCTCCTGGTACATCCCAGTGTCTCATTCTTGCTTGACATCCCAAGGGGTGAATATTCTATTTTTAATGTGGTAGAGAAAAGAACTTTTTCTACTCGAGAAGTGACCCCCATGATTTGGAATTTTTAGGACTGAAAGTCAAAGGAATGACATTGGCTTTCCAGTTGTTAAAAATCTCAATTGCAAATGAATGTATGACAAAAATTAGTGAAATTCAAAGATCTGTAGTCTAATTGATAGCACTGTACCAGTCTCAATTTTCTGCTTTAAAAATGTGCTGGGGACTAAGCTGAGTGTGGTGGTGCACACCTGTAATCCCAGCAATCAAGAGGCTGAGGCAGAAAGATCACCGTGTGTTCAAGGCCAGCCTAGGCTACATAGTGAGTTCAAAGCCAGCCTCAACTACAGAGCAAGAATCTGTCTCAAAAAAAAAAAAAAAAATGTTCTGGGGTTATGTAAGATGTTATCAGTGGGGAAAGGTGGGTGGAAGCATACAGGAACTCTGTACTATTTTTGGAACTTGTGAATCTTAAACTCTTTTCAAACAAGAAAGGTTTTTTAAAAAATTCTTATTACGTATTTGTCATTAACAACTTACTCTTGCATATGCTGGCAGAATATTTATAATGACTGAAAATTTAAGAGAAATAAATGTGCTACCTGGGCAAGATGAGAACTTTCTCCTGCTGTCTTAGCTTAAGAATTGCTTCACTTGCAGCATGAATCTCTGAGGAGAGCGCGAACTGCAGAGGTTCACCCTCCAATTTCACAGCACATAAACATGTGGATGAAAAGCCCACTAGCTCCCTAGTCATCCAGATTTGCTTATATAATGATGGGCACTGGGAGCTCCATCCTCAGCCCCGTCAACTGAATAAAGCTGCTGTTATTACCATCTTTGGGCACCCTGCTCACCTGGGACTCTGTGTGTGTGTGTCTCTAGGTTGTGCATGACAACTACCTCCTGTATGTGTTTGCTCCAGACCGCGAGAGCCGGCAGCGCTGGGTGCTGGCCCTTAAAGAAGGTAACTAAACTCCTATGCCACTGGGTCACTGAGACCTTTGATCCGTGGTAGGCTCAGGTTCCGTGATAGAACAGTGTGGTTTGAGAGCCACTCATTTCAAATATTTCTCCCTCTGGGAGTTAGTGCAGGTCCCAAGCTTTTACTCCAGACCCAACCAGAGGCAGCAAGCAGTACAGTCAAGGTTGGACAGACAGCCTGTCACCTATTCTTATAACGCTCCAAGCTAAGAACAGTTTTTATGTTTTTAAGTGGTATCTAGACTTTTAAGACAAAGTTTGCCAAGTTCTGGCGTAGTGACAAGATAAGAGTTAGGCCCTTGAGTTGGATGACTTCTTCCACGTATTCTGTGCTCTTGGGCCGATTCTTAACTGCTCAGGGCTTTGGTTTCCCTACCTACTAAACAAGGAGAGTGGCAGTGCTAAACAAGGAGAGAGGCAGTGACCTGCCTCAAGGGTCAATCTGGGTAAAAATCTTGACCCACATTCAGCCACCAATCAATATTAGCTGGGTTTCAAGTCACTGAGACAATCAGTAAGGGTGTGTCTTAAATCTTGCCTACCTGACAGCATAAGTAGAACTAGCGTAGTGTCAAAGTCCGTGGGCTGTAGGGCAGGCTGCTGAGGTGAAAATATCCAGTTATCAGTGTGTGATCTTAGCCAAATCTCTTGACCTTTGTGTGTCTCCACTTCCTCAGCTATAAATTTTGACTATGAATAGTGATAGAGTTGTGAGAATTAAATTTATTAGGACATATAAGGTACTTAGAATAATACTTATTATTAAGAACACCACATAATCAATATTCCTGATTATTGTTGTTCTTCAACCCAAAGCATCCCATGTATCAGGAAGTCTGTGCACAGGTAGTAGTCTGTCTATAATTGGCTACGAGAACTAAGGATATGCAAGTCTGGAAAATGGTAATAAAAATTCTGTCCACTTCCAAGGCTGTTGTGAGTCTCAAGTGAAATATGAACAGGCAAGTGTTGGGTAAACTGGAAAGTGCTCTCATATGTAACACTCACAAGAATGGAGCCCACTGTGTCCACCGGGCAGCCTCCCTGTGTGAATGGGCTTTACATATAGGATGCTGAGGTTGGGGAGGAGTGCTACAAATGAACTGTCTAGTTCTGTGGGTTTTATACTTTTTTTTTTTTGTAGTTACAGAATCTTCTTTTTCCCTACCAAAATCTTACCTCAGAGCAACATGTCTCTAAAGTATAAAAGCAAAGTTGCTGTAGTTGAAGGTGCAGACAGTGAGGTGGTGGGAATCCCATCCTCTCTTCCCATTACTGCTAAGGCACCAATGTGGGGACCACTGACCTAACAGTGAGTTTACCAGTCTCATTACTTAGCGGGGGGAAAAGGAGGTTCAAGATGAAGGTTCACCCAACCCAAGGACACACAACCAACTGGAGGCCTAGCCAGAGAAGGACCCTAATAGAATGAGGTGGAAATAACTCTTCTGTTGGTGTCAACCCCTTTTAGAAACAAGGAATAATAACAGTCTGGTGTCCAAGTATCACCCTAATTTCTGGATGGATGGGAAGTGGAGGTGCTGTTCTCAGATGGAAAAGCTTGCAACGGGTTGTGCCCACTATGATCCGACCAAGAATGGTAAGACGAGGGATCCCCTTTTGTCTCTGTGAAAGCCCTGTAAAGACGCGAAGTTATCGGTGTCCCATCATTGAGGGTATCATGGATTGAAAGTGAAAGGCTACCCTTGCAGAGGGAAATCCTCATCTCTCTTTCCTACCAGCCTGTTCATGCCTTTTCACCTCAAAGCTCATGTCTTATATCTCTTGGCTACTCGAAGTGTGGTCCTTGGGCCACCTGCATCAGCACACCCTAGCAGCTCATTAGAAACGCAAATTCTCTGTTCCCAGCCCAGATCTATTGGATCACAGTGTGCATTTTAGTAAGATCTCCAGGAGATTTATGTGCACAGTAAAGTTTGAGGAGCACTGCTGTAGTCTCATTTCAGGAAATTTGAATTACGTGGTCTACTTAAATCTTAAATTATGGACACCAGCTTAAGAAGTACAGAATAATATTCACTTATTTGTTACAATGACATCCTATGACACACAAGTTTAATTTCACAAATTTCAACTCTTGTTTTATACTAATTCAATTTGGGAAAGGAGGGAGAAAAAAGAAACCTTATTTTACTCTGTGGTTTCTTCCTACCTCTCCAGACTTGCCCTTGACCTACCCAATCTCAGAGAAAAAGAGTCCACACTCTAACCACAAAGTAAAAACAAAAGAAGTTGTTTCTTGGCCTTTGATAGCAAAGGCTCAGGTCCTGGTGATTGGAGTGCAACCTGATTTTACCTTATGTGTTGACTTTGGCACCGTAACCTCCCTGTCTAATGCACTTCCACATGTTTTATATCTCGTTTCTCACAGCCATCTGGAGTAGAGGGGGTAGTATGATGTTAAAGACATGGCTGACCTTGAGCAGTTCAGTATGTGCAGGGCTATACAGTGAAGCAAAGCTCTGCAAAACCATTATAGAATAGGAATGATAAGCTGGGTGTGGTGGTGCACACCTGTAATCCCAGTTCAGGAGGCTGAGGCAGGAGGGTTGCCTCAAGTTTAAGGCTATCCTGGGCTCCATATGGAGTCCAGGGCCTGAACTACATAGGGAGACCCTGTCTCAAAAACAAAAAAACAAAACAAAACAAAAAAACCAGAATAGGAACAATGGCTCATGCAAACTCTTTTGCTCCATTTTCCTCTCCTCCCAAACTTTTCTACCACAAATGCCTTTTCTCATCTGTCAGCTTCTTTTTCTGCACTAAGTTTACATATATTAGATTGACAACCCAAGGTGGGTGTAACACGTGGCTGGGTTTTCCGTGGCTTCCTGAGTCAGTAGCACTTTAAAAACCACCACTTCTCACCCTGCACCTTAGGAAAAAAGGTCTTGTAAGGGTATCAGCTCATTGCCCCAGGAGAATAACGTTTAGCAAGACTTAAAAGTTAGTGATCTGCATCTTAACCCTATTGGCCGTAATCACAAGAGCCTGTATTCTGTGGAAAAGAAATGAAAAGCTTGGTATCAGGGGAATCTGTTATGCTACAGGATGGCATGGGTTTGCCTCTGTAAAAACCCTCTGCAAAGCTAACGATCTACTCTCCAAATTCCTGCCAGCACCCACTGTAGGCCTCTGAGGAGTCCCTTGGCCACCAAGACCCCTAATATCCTCATCTCTAAAATTGTAGGGGAGGGGCTGGGGATTTAGCTCAGTGGCACAGTGCCTGCCTGGCATATGCAAGGTTGTGAGTTCAATTCCTGGTACCAGAAGAAAAACAAAAAAACAAAAATAAAATAAAATAGTAGGGGAGGTCTTAGTGACCTACAATGAAATACTAGCTATGCTTCCTTCCACATCTGAAATTCTGAGTCCGAGTCTCCACTTTCCACCTTTCACCATGCATGTCACAGCTATTCCTCCACAGTGTGCATAGATGTTCTCGCCACGGAGTGCTGCACACGGGACAGCAGTGTTAGGAGTTCCCACCTCGTAACTACGCTTGGTCAGGGCAAGCTCCTCCCCACATGAACCCAGGGCCTAGCAACTCTCAGCACCCCCCGACACGTGTGCCACACTGTTGGCGGTGTTGCTTTTGCACTGCAACACACTGCTATCCCCTGCCACACGCACACTTAGCATCTCCTCATGCCACTCTCTTCTGACTTAAGTAACTAACCTCATGCACCATCGTTTTGACTGAAGTGGGAGCAGTTTTTAAGAAGCAGATTGTGCTGTGAAGGCTCATCAAATTGTTGGTATTGGACACATTGACAGTATAGGGCTGATAAGCCCAGGGCTTTGGAGTATAAAGAAATACCTGGGCTGAGTCCTAGCCCATAATTTCATTGCTGTGTGATTTTATATGTTTCTTAACTGCTCTAGGCCTCTGAGGCAATTTCTTTATCTGTAAATGGGGATAATGATAATGATATATTGTGTGGTTGCTGGGAAATTTGTTGGAGTCACAGGACACTCGTAGCACTGCTGCTGGCACTTGAGTTCTTGGTAAATGGTCATTGTGTCTACAGGTCTTCCTTATTTGTCGATGAAAGAATCTGAGGCTAAGATAGCCATGTGTGTGTGTATCTGGAAAGAAGCAGAAGTGGTTGAGTGGAAATAGATTCTTCTACACCAGCTCATAGTCACACTCATCTCTGCAACTAGAACCAGCCCTAGTCCTATCATATCAGTGTCACACAGAGCAAGAGGAAGGAAGGGAAGATGAAAGACCAGGGCCACAAGAAGAAAGAGATCGATCACAGAGTGTCCCAGTCTCATAACGCTGGACCGGGGCTAGGACCCCAGTTTCCTGGCTCCAGTCTGAAAGCTAAATAAGAACCATGCTTCTAGTTATGTAGGTTTTCCATCTTGAATGTGAAATGTATACCCAAATTAATACTCTGGCCTACCCCAGCTTAAGGAATCAGCACTGGGCTGGGCTCCAGCATCAAGATGGGAATCTGCCCTGCCATATCCCGATGTGGGGTAGCCACCTTCAAGTCTACTTCCTGTATAGATGAGGACCTCACACCAGCCTATGGACTCACTTCCTGCTTATCTCTAATTATTACAGAGATCTTCGTGCTGAGCTAAAGCCCATGTAGTACCTCCTCATACCCTCACACGCACTCCTGGACACACACACAACTGTAGCCCATTGACTCCAGACCTGATCTTTGCAGTGCCACAAAGGAGAAATAGTGAAGGATGGAGATGAAATGATGAAAGGAGGCCTAGAGGGAAAAGGAGGGAAAGAATAGAGGAGAAAGGAGGAAAGGAGAGAGGAGAGCTAAAGAGAGCGGTATGGAGACAAGAGGGAACAACACAGAGAGAAACACTGAAAGTGCGTGGTTTGGGGAGGCAGCAGGAACAAGCAGTCAGATGCCTTCAGGCAGCTAAAGCCAGATTCCATCCCACTCAGAAAGCAGCACAACGACTCCCACCTCAGCCTTCTCCTCCTCCTCCTCAGGCACACAACAGCAGCAGGAAGCCAGTGAGTCACTGTCCCCTGAGTCACCTATTCCCACTTTGGGTGACAGATAGGTTCATAGAAATCCCTGCACCAGCGGCAGGAAGGGCCCGCGTATCACCTCCCTCCACAGTCAGGCTTTTTTGGAAAATAGAGAAAGGAAGATTCTATAATGTTGATGGCTAGAAGTTTCTGGTGCCTCCTAGAAAAAAACAGTTGGAAACCAGCAACCAGAAGACGTAGAAGACAGACTCTGCCAAGGCCGATTCTGGTTCCTGTGTGTCTTGCTACCTCCTTCTGGCCCATTTCCTTCTGTTGTTGTCCTCAGGCCCCTTTTCTCTGAAAGGCTGGGTGTCTCATGCTCACTTTCTTTTTCTGTTTTTCTCATTTCAGCTTCAAAAAAGCCTCTTCCTCCTACTCCTGAAGACAACAGGGTAAGTGAGAGCCCAAGCTCTGTGTGTGGGAGGAGGTGGGGGCAGCACGGTAGGTCTGACCGGCGCCTGCCTGTGTTTCTTAAACCCTGGATGCATGCCGCAGACAGCCATGATCCCACTGAATTCCACGTGTCACTTTTTGGGCTGTTCCATGGGTTTGGCCACTAAACGTCCACCTCTGCGTTTTCACTCCACACTTACTCTATCAAACTGTGTGTTCATTCTGTGCCTTGACACGCGAGCGAGCACTTTGGAGACCCACACTTGATAATGCTTCACATATTTCATAGTGCTTCTACACTTTTACTGCCTATGTTAAAACGGAGTATCTCTTCTAGCCACTTCAGAGCGTAACAGTTTCATGCTTCATTCCCTCTCTCTCTTCTTTCCTCTCTATTTTTCTGTGGTGCTGGGGATTGAACCTGGGGCTTATATGTGCTAAGCAAGTGCTCAACCACTTAGCTGCAGCCCTAGCCCTTCATTCTCATTTGAAAGTTTGGGAAAAGGAGCTCCAGGACAGAGGCCTTGAGGCTTTCCCAACGCCACTCACCCACTTAGCAGGACCCAGAGTTTCTGGGGTGATACTCCGGTGGTGCTTCTCAAAGTACAGTCCATAGAGAAGTGGTAGGTGTCAGCCTCACCTGAGAGCATGTTAGAAATGTGGGTATCCATGGCCACCTGACCTGCTGCATCCAAAACCCCATGGAAGGGCCCTGGGCTTGAGTAGGCCTCCAGGTAACTCTGAGGTTCATCCAAGTTTGAGAACCACTGGGCTGTAGTGTCCTGACTTACAAGACTTAGCTGGTATAGCACCCACTCTGGGGAAGATTATTTGGCACAGGGGAATAGGCCTTCATCTTATGGTCATATCAACACCAACGCATACCCACATTCAAGTACCAGCCCTCTATTCCAGAATCTACCAATCCTGCTTCCTCCTGAAGAATGAACTCTGCTTTTTTTTTCTTTTTTCTTTCTTTCTTTTCTTTTCTCCTCCTGCCAACGTGGTGACATTTCAAAGCTGGCAGCCTCCCCGTCAGTGAAGCTCTAAATCCTCCCAAGCTTGGCTGGGTTTTGGATCTGTCATCAGCCCACTCACTCACAACCCAAAAGAGGTGCACTTACATGTAGCAGCAGACAAGCTCTCTTTTCTTTCCTTTCCTTCCCAAGACCCGATGAGGTGCCGAGTCCCACACCCTCCCTGGCAGATGGCTCCCTCGCAGTTCCACCTAAACCCACACCTCCGCTTAGGGCGCTCTGCTCCTGCTTCCTTTCGGTACCATAGAAGAGGAAGTCCATTGCTCCCTGGACTCCACCTATTGGCTTTCTTGAAGGAGCAGCATCCATACCATTTTGGACATCCTGACCTTGGGGCTTATGCTTATGGCTATAATGTCAAGCACAGGTCTAAAGCCATGGCAGGGTTTCTCTGACCCTGAGTCCTTGAAGCCACTTCTCTCTCCACCTTCTTCTGTCACTCGAGGGGTCATGATATCTGAGGGTCACACACGGAGAAACAGTGTTTTAAAGCTAAGTTTGTAGGCCTCGTGCTCGACGTGAGGATGTATGAGAGGTAGTCGGTCCTCCACAGGGAGACAGAGGTTATTTTTGGTCAAAATGGAGAATATCCATGGTGGGAATAACTGACAACCACAGGTCTCTGCTGCTTGTGGCAGCAAAGCAGCTCAAGATCCACAGTGAAGTCCAAATTCCAGTCCCTCTTGGCCCTTCATGGAGTTCCTCTAAGGCCCTTCCAGTCACCCAGAAGAGCTTCCCAGAAGCCACTCAGGATGTGTCTGCCTTGTCTGTTCCCCAGGCTCCCTGTGAGAGACCCTTTCCCTGCTTCTGCACCCTGGGTTTTCTGTGAGGGCATGTAGGCCCATCGACACTCTCCCAGCGGGGGCCAGGAGAGCCATTCAGGCCAGGAAGTGGGGTCTGTGGCCTGTACAGAGTGGCCAGGAAAGCCTCACCTAACCCTGAGGCCTCACGCGGCTCTTCTGGAGCCCACAGATCCTTGATTTTCTCACTTTAATCCAGTGGTTCTCAACCGTATCAGGCCCACTGCTCCCTCTCATGACAAATATTTTGTAAAGATCCTTTTTCTATCCTGAAAAGCAAGCCATAAACAATACAGCTTTTATAAACACATATTTTTAAAAGAACCAGTACCTGCCATAACTGCAATATTAAGCACAGGGGAGAATTTATATAACATGTGTTTCTGCATATAAATATGGAGATAGGATTGTCCCAAAGGATATAATAAAATAACCAATTGCTTACACCTATAAGCAGAATCCCATTGAACTTGGCAACCCAATGCAACTGACACAGAAATGTTTTACTGGTGACTCAGACACAATGTTACCACCATCTATGATATGATTTTCCATCATGGTGAGCCATTCTTGGTGAAGATCTGAATTAAGTGTAAGCTCCCTTCAGTGCATTCCTGGGAAACCTAGTAGTCTGTATCAGCTAGAGGTAAGGACTAGGCTTAGGGTCTTCATATATGTTATAATCATAAGCAGACTTCTTACCACATAGACGTCTAAGGAACGTTCAAAAGTTTTACAAGATGTGGGACCTACAGAGCATTCTGCAGTGGCCCTTGCCCACCACATACCTATACCACACATCCAACTTGTAACAGCCCAAATACTCTCCCAGATATCTTTATGGAAAGGTCCCCTATAATTTGGGAATTCTGATCCTTCTCTTCCTAGCGATTAACCAGCAACCTGGACCTAGGGCAGTGTCATTCCATTTCTCCCCTGTGTTTTCTTCAGGTGTCCTTGAGCACTGTTCCTCACTCCACCATTTCCTAAGCAAAAGCCTGCAATCTGTCCAGCTTCTCTGTAGTGATCAGTGTATCACCGCCTCATTAGCTCGTTGTGCACCTTCGGATTCCAATCTGGGGACATTTGACCTCAGTAAGATAAAAACCCTCACACACTTTAGCTCAGATATTTTTATGCCACTAAATATTTCATTGTACTTAGAGAACTTGTGACTTCCTGACTGTTACTTCCTAGCCTGTCACTCATATATTCTCTGTCCCCAAATCTGCCAGCATGTTACAAGTGTGTCCATCCTGCAACTCTGGTGACTGATTTCTGATCTTGTCTTCACAGTCCCAATTTGTCGTCCTAAGAAAGGTACTGCAAGACAGAGCTATAGTTCAGAGAGGGTATGAGAGAAAGGAGGGAGCCTGTGTACAAGTAACGAAGGAAGCATTGTGATTGATTTCCCTAAATTGACCATATCCGTTTCCCCATCCTAAATAGCAGAGAAAATTGAGTGGTCTCTTAGAGAAATTTCAGCTCCCATAGCCTCTGAGTCTGTGGATGTGAACAAACGTACAAATCAAATCAGCCAGGCATGGGCTGGTGACTTGGTGTTGACCACACCTCCTTCCAAAGGTGTGATGCTTCCGGTAGGAGGCTGCAGAGCAGGACATGGTGCAGACAGAAATCAGCAGACAAACTGGCTGCTTGGCACTCGCTGTGGTTGAGATTTACCTCATAAAAAAGAATCGGACGCTGATGTCTTCACATCCTATTTAGCAGCAGTATTCTAGCTCCTAAAAAAAGCTAATAGAGGAAAGTAGATTATCTCTGAAAATGCCTCGGGGATGGTAGGAGCGAATCTGTTGACCTGGCATAAATCCAGAGTAAGTTACACCTTAGGAATTCGCTGCCCTTGCTTTTTACTTCACCTTTTTATGTCTTTGCTTGGTTTGGTTTTCCCCTCCCCAGCGATCACTTCAGGAACCTGAAGAGACCCTGGTCATTGCCTTGTATGACTACCAAACCAATGATCCTCAGGAGCTGGCGCTGCAGCGCAATGAGGAATACTACCTGCTAGACAGCTCTGAGATTCACTGGTGGAGAGTTCAAGACAGGAACGGGTAAGGCATCTTTGTGGTTATTGACCCAGCATGTAAGGTGCTGTGAAATCAAAGACAGCGCTGCAGCGATCAGTCCCGCCTTGCTTAGTCTGCCCACCAGGCCCACAGCCCTGAGCAGGGAGGGAACGCAGGGGCGAGAGGAGGAGGGGCGGAGAGCGGGTTCTTTCCTTTTCCCAGAAGCGGCCAGGAGGCAACCACTTGCTCCCCTTGCCCTCTGTACCCATGTGCGGTACTGCAGGCCCTGAACTCATCTAAAAATCCCCTGGGTTTTTCCACTGACACCTGCAGTTTGAGAGGTCGGAACTTGTTCTGCCCACCACTGCTGCTCTTGATTGCCGAAGTGCCGCTGGTGTTATGAAGCGCTTATTTTCAGTGGGAAGGAAAGACATGTAGAGATGGCACCGATGGGTGATTATATTCGGAAGCATCCGAACATACTAAAGATTTAATTATGTGTATAATCATTGAACCTAGCCATCTAGGCGAGTTATGGAGAAAATAAGGTTTAACATTTTAAAGCATAAGATTATTATTAATTTAAAAATAAAAAAAAAGAGGGCTGGGGATTTAGCTCAGCGGCAAAAGCGCCTGCCTGGCAAGCGGAAGGTCGTGAGTTCGGTTCCCGGTACCGGAGAAAAACCAAAAAAAAAAAAAAAAAAAAAAAAAAAAAAAAAAAAAAAAAAAAGAAAAAAGAAAAAGAAAACATGCTAGTTTTGCCTATGTCACTATTTTATTTGAAAAAAGTCATGAAAAAAAAAATTGAGGCTGGAAATGTGGCTCAGCAGCAAAATGTTTGCCTATCCTGTCAAGGCCCTCAGTTGGATTCCCAGCATTAGAGAAAAACAAAGAAAGAAATGAAGGAGGGAGGGGGGATTGAATGTGGAAATATAAAAAGTAAGCTACTCTCCTTGTACCTCCTACTTCAACCCTATCAGTACTTTTTCGTGTGCCCTAGACAAGAATTTTACACTGATACAAGTGCCCTTTTTATATTTGCATTAAGATGGTTTAGCCTGTCCTTTGCCTTTCTTTTAACCTTAAGTGATATTATCTTAGTCAGCTTTTCATATCAACACACATGGCTACCCCTTTTTAACATAATTGTACAGTATTAGAATGTGTGGTTTAATTGCAAATATTTCAAGATTTTGTGGTAGGACATTTCCTGTTCAAATTAGTTGGGTTTTTCTTCTTGTTTCAAGCAAGTATACAATGAAGACATTGCACTGCTGATACGTATAGCCTGGTAATCTTTTGAATTATAAAACATTTTAAATTGTTGAGTCAGAGTATGTGACAGTTTAATTTTGATAATAATTTCTTCAAAAAGCTTGCCAAACTTACATTGCCCCCAAAGAGTTAGGGATGTGCCCACTCTATTATTAATCAGATAAAGGAAGGAAGGCAGGGAGAGAGAGAAATCTGATGCATTAGAAAAAAAAGAGGCACATAAATATTTTTAAGATTAAGGCTTGGCTTTTAAAATCCACTAAAATTTACAATCTCGGGATATCTGCTCTTTAAGTAGGGACAGGGGCAGGAGAGGCCAGGTGGGTAAAATACAATTAGACAGAGAATGGCGCACTGAAAGACAAGTGGCTTACTAGCTAAGAGCAGACCTCAAAGCTCTCTCATTGGGAACTTCCCTTTCCCTTTCCAGCTGACTGGTGGGGGCAATCAAGATTCAAGACTCCCCTGGTCTACAAACACCAAGAACTTACTCAGAAATGCATCAGCTCAACCACCTGACATTTAGCACCCCTAAAGTGCCAGGAACGCTTCTAGGTCTTTCTTCCCCCAGTGACAGTTCACTCTTCAGTCATTGGCCCAAGGAAAGTCTCCATCTGCACTTCAAAGGGCGGGAAAGAGGAGCCCCAATGGGCCAGCCTGTCCGGAACTTCCTTGGTGTGCGTTATAATAGCGTGGCTATGGGAAAGCTCATGAACAGGGAGAGATAGGACTTGGACTTTAGCATCAGGACTCTTCTCATAGGTGACTGTGGTCAAGTTGCTGTCTTTCTGGGAACTCATTTCCTTATCTGTAAAATGCAGATGATATCAGCTTTTCCCGTCTCACAGCCTTGAAAAGAATCAGTGAAAGAATGGGAAATGAACGTCTTTGTAAATTCTATACATCCACACACAGCTGATGAGGATTATCTTTTGTATAAATTCCCCAACTGAGGGTGGCATATTAAAACCAGTTTATTGTATTCAATACAAACTATTGCTTGTTCTATTAATATAATTGTAAGTATACGGTGTAGCCAAAAAGAGAGAGAGAGAGACAGAGAGACAGAACTAAGAGAAATTCCAGAAAAGAAACAGGACTGGTAAATTTCACAAGTTGATTCCCATCACTTAGCCCTGAGTACTATGTTGAGGACGATTCTGAACCTAGATGCTCAACCCTCCAAGAAATTGTGCCATGATTGATTAGCCATGCTTGTTTTGAAAATAGTTTAGGTCCCTTGATTTTTAGGTAAGGGCTAGATGCTCAGAAAATGAAAGGATTCTACTTTCACACCGCGTGACTGTGAAAGTGCTTGGAAAACTGTAAAGCTATTCATAAATGTGAAAAACATTGATATTCTTACTAATTCCTGCTTACTTTTGTGCGCAAGTATTAATTCCTAATCTAAATTGCCTCTGTACCCCCAAATACAATCTGACTTTATTCTTTTGTTCTCTTGTTCATATAACTAAAGAAGCTCAATTAAAGAGTCCTTGAATTAAAAAGCTTATAATACCAAATGGGACAATCTTTCAGGAGCTGTGGTTAGAAAGTTATTACTTTAATTACTTTGGTTTCCTGACTATAAAATGATGGCACTAAAGTGGAAAAAAAATACTGATTATCACACACAAAAAGTGTTTCATTTTAAAAAATAGAATCTGAATATAATTTTTTTCCAGTAGAGGAAATTTCACAATAAAGGCAGGCAGCATCAGAGCTTTTTAAAGTCAAATGGACATTTGTTATTTATTATATTTTAGTAGTGAAATCTATCGCTTTTAAAAGATAACAAGCTTTTGTTACTTTTATTAAATTCTCTTCCTCTAAAACTTTAAAATACATCTTATCACAAACTCCAAATAATCTGAGATTTCTTCGTCTGGAACTGACTTTTGGTGGATTAAGCCTACAAAATGAAGATGTACAAATTGGTTCTATATTAGTCTAAACACTAATTTCCTTTTTAACAGGCATGAAGGGTATGTACCAAGCAGTTATCTGGTAGAGAAATCTCCAAATAACCTGGAAACCTATGAGTAAGATACTTTATTTATCTTTTGTAAAAAAAATATATAGTACTAAGGAATCCTCCCTTGCTTAAGAAAGTTATGGTTGACTATAAAAATACCAGATGGTTTCTTTTCTTGTCATACTTCTTTCGCTGCTATTATCTGACCCACTAAACAGTGAAAGAAAAATGAGGAGGTTGGATATACTACCCTCCCCTTTTATCAAAGGAATGATTCTCAGGTACCTGAAAAGATCGTAGTAAAAAGAAAAGATTCTTTTGGGAACTCCAGACATATTGGGTTTACTCGGAGGAAAAAAAACTAAGAACACTGACTCAGACATAAACTGATGTAAAACTTAGCTTACTGTGATAGTTCCAATACTAGGACAACATACAACCAAGGAGACATTAAATGTCTGTTTAGACCAAGGAAAGTGTTCATTCGTAAGCTATCATTTAGGAGGATAGCTCAAAGAGGCATGATTTTAATGCAGCTATGGAATGTTTAATGAAATTCGAATGTAGAGTACAAAAGACCTACCGTGTATGCATATGTTCTAGTGCAGAGTCCACAGGGAGCTGGGAGCAATGATACCACCGCTGCAGTGTTTACACATACTACTCACATCCTAAATTCTAACTAACACTCCCCACTGAAAAGAACCAGAATTTCTCCAAGAAATATCTTGGGCATTCTAAGTTTGGGGCAGGGAAAGAGCAAGATGAACTTTTAGTTATGTTCATCAGATAACAAAATTATAAAAATAATGCAATTACTTTGCAAAAGATCTGGAAGACCAACCCTAAAGAGACAAATATGGCAGTTGTTTTAAAAGGATAGTTGCTAAACTTTCAAACTGGTATTAGCTTTTTATAGCTGTGCGAACACTTTTCTACTTATAACCACCCACTGACTTATGAAATAGAGAGGAAACTAAATGTTTTGTAAAACTCTGTCATGGAAAATCTCCAACGTGCACAAAACCAGAAAATAATATGATCAATGCTCCCAAATCCAGCTTCAGCCATTATCAGTATTTTGCTAAATGTGTTTTATTTTGTGCCCTTCCAAGTGAACATTTTACTACCTAGAAATGGATTATGACTTTGCTTCTGAGTTAGAAACCACTGATAGAAACAGAAAGTGAATAGATGATTTCTCCGGCATTATTTTTTTAATAAAACTTTTAAAAATACCATTGACACATGACTGTTTCCTGCTTTCAGGTGGTACAATAAAAGCATCAGTCGAGACAAGGCTGAAAAACTTCTGCTGGAGTCTGTAAGTCTCCTCAACCTGTCTGTGGACTGAAAATAAATGGTGGTTTTTCAGCCATACTGTGGCTTATGCAATGTGGTGGGTTGGCATACTAGATTAACAACAGTTTTCGTGTTTGGGGACAAATATTCCGGAAGGGTTCTGGACCAGCAACCATTAGAGAAGAGACCTGGAGAGGCCATGATCATAGCATCGTAGCTGCAGAGGTCTTCAGTCTGGAAGCTATGGAGGCTCCTCTGCCGTGCCCACTTCTCTGCTAGCTCCAGAGGCAGATTCTGTGTGGTTGGACTGTGTGTCCGGACGAAATACAGCGCTTGCTTTCTCTTACTTTTTATCAGCATTGTTTCTCTAAAGCCATGCAGTATGAACAGCAGGCCTCACCTTACCCAAGGATATCAGCATGAAAGGAGAGATGCACAGGAAGACCGAGAGCGTGGTGAAGTGAGGTTGTAGTGGGCTCTGGTCCCTGTTCTCCAGCTCAGGGGACTCTGAGACATCTGTCCTCCTTCGGGCTTGTGCTCTGTCACTGCTGCCTCCCCCAAGAAGCCTCCCATGCCTTCCCAGTCCCTCGTCATGAGCTGTTGTTTCTCTCACCTTGGAACCTCTTGGGGCAATGTTATTACTTCTCCAGTGGCTCTGCTCTTACTGTGCCATGGCTCTTCTGATTTTCTCTCCTGACTTAATTCCATCTAGGTAGAGGTACAGTTCCTAGTGAGTAGGTGCTCAGTAAATCACTTAGTACACTTTGAGCATCTCACACACCAGGTGACCCACACCTTAGACAGGAGCCTTACCTGAAGCATCGATTTATAGTATTTCTGTGGTTCTAAAACATCATCAGAAATGCGCCATTGAGTTAACAGTAGTGTATTTTAAGATGAGAAAGGATCCCCCGCTCCCTCTCAGAATGAAAGCTGGCTGTACATCAGAGACACTCTGGAAGCACACTGCCAATTGCAGTTGGACAAGGCCACAATCATCAGTCCATCTTTCCACCACAGCTTACCCTTTGTGAAGAATATTTTCCATAAGGTCACTTTTGAGTTGTATGGATAGAAAGAAAAAAAATATATTCCTAACACAGCCAGCATGACTCAGGTGCTGACAGACAATGGAGTTCGTGCTCCCAGCAGATGGTCTACTGCAGCATGCAATAATAATGTCTAATAATAATCCTAATAGCCTTATTCTGGGATTATATTCCAGGAACTGTTCTACATACTCTACTTAATTTTCCCAGCAGCCTTACAAAGGTCATTTTACAGGTGAGGAAACTGATGTTCATATATTTAATCAGGAGCCATCTGGAATTCACAATGTTAGAGTTAAAATTCCCATGAGAAAGCATCTGGTCCTTGTCCTTCATTTAAAGGCAGATAATGGGGAATAAGCTCAGAAAGCAGGTCATTAGCATAGTCAGGACTAACACAGGGATGCTTCTTCAAACACACACACACCAGTTAATGAAGTCATAGTAATAAAGAAATATATGAATTGCTTTCTACTTTTCTATCCCACCAGGGATGGTACATCACCTCCTTTGCATTATTTTTCCTGTTGTTGCCTCTTTATTTTTCTGGATTAAGTAGCAAAAGGTAAAGTGAGACCTTCGGTGTGTCCCAAGGGAGTGATGGTCTTCTGCGGCTGCATCGCACAAGTGCCCCCAAGGGTAGCAGTCATAGGCGTGCTGAGCTCTGAGGTCCGGTGTCTTGGTGGCTGTAACTATCTCTGCGTTCCTTGAAGGAAGTGGGCAGTAAAGCACATGTGGGAAAGTGCGTGCTACACTTTCATCAGAAGCCTTGGTTCCCTTGGTTCAAACCAGAGTTTCCTGGTGCTATCACCAAATGTCACCCACAACAGCTATGTGTTCTTCAAAGATAACTTAATGCCTATCAGCTGATCAGTAGATAAAGAAATGTGGTAGATCTGGACAGTGGGACGGCATTCTGCCATAAGAGGCAGTGAAGTACTGCTGTGTGCTATGATTTAGATGAACTAAGTAAAAGAAGCCCACCATAAAGACTACACATTGTGTAATACTGTTTGCATGAAATATTGAGAATGAGCAGACCTATACTGTCATGTTGGATTAACATGTTGATGCTGGCATGTTATTCTAACATGCCAATGCACGTTAGTGTGGCAGGAGTGCAAATGGGACAGAGATTTCTTTCAGGGGAGGTGGAAGTGTTCTACATTTAGATTATGGTGGTGGTCATACATCTCTGTAAATTTACTAAATAATTATTGAATTCTAGACTTAAAATGGGGGGGAATTTCTTGTATGTAGCTTGTGCTTCAGAAACTATTTTTAACACCAAGAGAACTTAACCTGGGGGTTTTGATGTCCCCATAGATCAGAAATCAAGTAAATTGCTGATCCCAAAGGGGGAAAACCTAACTCTTAAAAAATCAATATTTAAAAGAATGATTTGTAAGCAAAAGTTAAAAGCATTCTTAATATTTTGTGGGTAAACAGTTAATATTCATATCTGAAACAGGAAAAAATAAGAATCTGGTTGGGTTTCCTTTTCTTTACAATGCCCAAGATCCCACACACATCATCCCCTGTGGATGATAAATCCACAAGAAGCTCAGCAATGTGCAAAAGATTGCATTAGTGTTTTCCAAAGACTTATAACTCAGTCTCCTGAGTTTAAAAGACATGATATAGGAAATACTTAAGGTATCCTTGATGTGTACAAAAGCGAAAGGACTGCTTCAGGTCATCTTAGAGAAAGCAATGTAGTCACTTTCTTGTTTTGCTGGATTCTTGCTCTGCACTCAGGCAGCAGCAGGAGAGGACAGCCTGAGCTCTCTACCTAGAAAAGGAAGGCCGCAGGTGCAGAACAGAGATCAAATCTGAACTTCCGGTTCCAAAATAGAGTCCTGAATTTCCAAGGGATCTAAGAGGCATTCAGGGATTTCAAGAGTCTGTTTAGTTCTCAAACCCAAAGTTTGTGTAATAAATTATAGGTTTGGCAAGAACATACAATGATGTAAGAGCAAAGCATCTGTCACTTCCATCCCCTACAGGGTTACAGCCATGTTATAGGAAGCAAGTGTGACTCCGGATGAGGATGAGCTTCCTAATCATCAGTTTGAAGAGACAGAGACTACTGATTAGGACTGTTACAAAGATGGGTTTTTGTTCAGTTAAGTCAGCAGTTAAATCAGCAGCTACCAAACCCAGAAATCCATGAGATCATATGGCATGTTTTCAAAATGTCCAGGAACCAGGGTCCCCATGGTGGAGATTCTTGGTGCATAGGCTTGGGGTGGGGAGCATGTTCTGCTACATTGTCTTATTTTGTGTTTTTGAGTCTTCAGATGATTGTGAAAATGAATGGTTTGGGACATATGGGTTTAAGGAGCTGAATCAGATCAGTGGTTCTCAACCAGGAGTGAGTTTTGTTTTCTACAGGACATTTGGTGTGCAGAAAGTAGAGGCTAGGAATGCTGCCAACCACCTAGTGCACTGGATGAGCCCACCTCCCATGACAAAGGACTACTGGGCTGAGGCTGGGAGAACCCTGGCATATATCATCTTTATAAGGTTCTTTTAAAAGCTATGAGCCTACATTTCAAACAATTACTATGACTTTCTACATGTATTTGTGTGTGTGTATGTGTGTGTGTGTGCTCGTGTGTGTATGTATGTACTTGCCCACCTTTGGGACCAGAAGATAGATGGTTTTGTCTTGTTCTACATAGTATCTAGTTCTGTATACTTTAAGAGTATACCAAAGTCTGAGGAGTCTCAGCCCACCACATGAGACTCCTGTCTAACTCTGACCTTCACTTAGGGCTCTCAGGATGTCTATATGAAGTAAATAATAGGCTTCACAAATGTTACCAGGGCAGACTTGTAGCTGGGTAGGAACAGTGCATTATGTATGCAGTACTTAAAAGAGAGCTCAGATTTTTCAGTTCCCACCAGGAATGAGTAAGTTGGCATAGCCATTTGCCTAGGTATATTGTCAGAGCTAGCAAAATTGTCAGGACTATGAGAGGTACATTCTCAGGGCACTCCCTTCTCCCAGCTCCCTTATGAAGCCAGGAGCTTAATATCTGTCCTCCTCCCCTGCAGCAAGGTTAGCACTCTGGAAAGGGTCTGAAATTATATTTCCATTAAGGAACTGGTGATGCTTCCAGGAAAAGAAGTTTTGTGCCTCTGTAGGGAATGGAGAAGTGGTTTCCAAATCTGTTGATCGGAGGCATCATGGAGCAATAGTGGGGTCATGGGCTTTGCTCACATGCCAGAGTTCAAATCCCAACTCTGCCTCTTACTAGTGTCGGGTGGTGGAAAAGCCACTTAAGCTCTCTGGAACTCTGTGTCCTCCTTGGAAATGGATGAAGATAATGTCCAGGCTACAGTGTTTTGGGAAATATCTGCAGAGTTTAGTACATGATGAGCTCTAAGAGGACAGGACTTGTGTCTGTCTGTTCTCACTCATGGCTAGTATAAGCCCTAGAACTTGGCCCCTGTAGGATCTCAAGAAACAGCTGTGGAATGAATGAATGAAATGGTAGCCACCATTACTGAACTACACCAAGCAGTACTTCCTCCTTCCACAAGAAAAAAGTGGAGCTGGGTGCGTGGGAAATCTCTAACCTTCCTTTCTTTCTAACCAACCCAGGGCAAAGAAGGAGCCTTCATGGTCCGAGATTCCAGGACCCCAGGAACATACACTGTATCTGTTTTCACCAAGGCCATTGTAAGGTATGGTGCTGGCTCAGCAGAGTAGAAAGGGAGACGCTACTAGGGTGGGGATGGGGTGGGTTACACAGAGCAAAGTCAAACAGTGCAGAAGGTAGAAGCCCACCAGAAATGGTATGGTCTGAGAAGGTCGAGGCTACAGAGATTCAGGACAGAATGAAGACAGTTAGAAAGAGACAGAGCCAGGGCTGGATGCCATCCAGGTCCTCTTCCCCATTGGCATGCCTAATAGCAGAACTCTAAAGAAACAAAGTATTTAGCCCTGCATTTGATGAGAATATCATTTCATTCAATGTATAAAGGAATAAAATGATATTTCCAATTGGAAGTGAAAATGGATAGATTCTAGTTCTGGCTGTACTAATAAAACTCTATTGATTGCTTATTATGTGCCAAGAACTTTACAGTTTGCAATCCTAAGAACCACTGGGAGCAGGTATTACCCTACTCACCTCTCACAGAAGAAACCAAGAGCTCAAGAGTTCAAAGAGCTGCTGGTGCCTCCCTGCACCAGTGCAGCTGGAGCAGCTGTGCCCCCTTCATGCGCCAGCCTGGCAAATCACAAGACCCTCACCGGTGGCACTCACTTTCTTCCTGTAAAATGGTGTCTAAGGGCCTATCTGGCTCTGGAAGCTCATTAGCAATAATGAAACAATTTGGCAAGTCCAGAGTGTAGTAAGAAAAAAGAGGAAAAGAATAATTTCCTAGGTGTCCTTAGGGAACGTTTGTCAGAAGGCGGAGGACATAAGCAGGACCTGGAGGAAGGCAGGGGTTAGACAGGTGGTAAGGAGCAAAGCCACTGCCTCTGGGAGGGACAGAACACAGTAAATGTCATGGGGGGGTTTGCAGCTCTGTCACAGCCAGGGGACAGGGGAGGAGAGTGACCTGAAACCTGTAAGACTTGGTGGAGAGAGAGTGAGAGCTCAGTTCTGTGTTGGGGTCCCCCACATCACCTGCAGCTCTAGTAATTCACGAGGATGACCCCTCACGCACAGAATAACATTCACTAAGATTATTTCAGCGAAGGAATACAAAGAAAACTCGACAAAAGGAAGAGGCACGTGGGGCAAAGTCCATAGGAAACCAAATGCAAGCTCCTCAGATACTATCCCAGCAGCGTCACACAGGACATGCTTAATTCCTCCCACAAGGAGTTCTGACAACGCTCGTGAGGTATTGCCCACTAGGGGACTCACTAGAGACTCACTCCCCGGGGCTTTTCCTGGAGACTGGTGAAGTACACAGCATCTGCCTAGCACCTCCCAAAGTTCCAGACTCACTCAAGGGAAACTCAGGTTCAGCACAAACCATAGTGACACCGTTTCATAACAGCCAGCCGCCCTTACCAAGAATGGTAACAGCCTCTCCGAAATCCCCGTTCCCAGCACCAGCCAAGGGCTGGCCGTGCAAGCAGTTCTTCCCGAGAACAGGAGCCAGCCTACTATGCTAACTGTTCTGCTCAAAGTTAAGTGAGTGTGAAGGGCCTGGAGAGGATTCCTCAACAGACTGCTGAAATTAGCTAAATCCTGCGGGGAAGATGACCAGGCAGTGTAGACCATGCCATTTCCCCGTTCTGTGGCTGTGGAAACTATGCCACCCATCCACCACTGCACTGCTGCCACGCTGGCCCAGGTGCAGCGTCGGAAAACTTCTGAACACGGCAGGGATGGACCAGCAACCAGCCCGTCAAGATTACTGTCTATCTGCCATGCCGTGGGAGGTTACAAAACAAAGACAATCCAAATCTGACAGCGGTAGATGTTTTATGTCTCAGTATTTTTCCGAATAATCACTGTGTTTCATTTGTTTAAAGTGAGAACAGCCCCTGTATAAAGCATTATCACATCAAGGAAACAAACGACAACCCCAAGCGATACTATGTGGCTGAAAAGTATGTGTTTGACTCCATCCCTCTCCTCATCAATTATCACCAACACAATGGAGGAGGTGAGTTCTAAAAGGCAAAGCCAAAGGGGGACCCTTGCAGGGAACTTAGAAAGAAAAGACAAAGCTCCAGTTGGTTTCTTCATGCCAGACAAACTGGCCATAAACAATAAGTAGATATGCAAACAGAAAGGGATGCCGAATGCTGGGTGATCTAAGTCATCTCCCATGAGCACTCTGCACTGTGGAAATGACTTTCACCGCCTCCCTGCCTCTGCATAGGAGGAAATGACTTTCACCGCCTCCCTGCCTCTGCATAGGAATCTGCCAAGCAGAACATAACATCAGTGAATAGACGTGGGGATTTGTTTTCCAGACTAAAAGTAGCTTTTACATCAGATTTTTTTCCTGGTAATTTACTTTGGACAGTTCCTACAGTAAGGCCCTAACCATCGCCTTTGGCTTTTCAATCAACCCAGGCCTGGTCACGCGACTCCGGTATCCAGTTTGTTCCTGGCGGCAGAAAGCCCCGGTAACTGCAGGGCTGAGATACGGTGAGCAACACAACAAAAAAATGTGAGGCATTTGAGCTCAGACTCGAATCTGTGAAAGTGACAGATAAATTGGAAGTGGATTTGCCACAAGCCTAACTGTTCTCAGACCCCAAATGATCATTAAGACAGGTATACTGTATATATAGGTAAGGCGTTCTGATGAATATTTTCAGCCTCTGGAAAGTGGTTTGTATGAGCATGTAGACCAAATCAATATCTTTTGGTTTTAAGGAAGAGTTTGTCAATGTAGTGTTTATTAAGTACCTACTTTGAACAAGGCAACCGTATTAGACAGCAATGCCTTAGCACTTTATTTCTGTGTATTTTCTAGAACTTTTTTATTACCTAGTTTGTTGGGCATTTTGCAATGGCTATGACCCAGCAGCATCCAGAGTTTTTTGCAGAGCAGAGTATTAAAAGTTTTTGAGAACCAGGGATGTAGATCAATGTGAGAGAGCATGGATTTCCAGCAATGCAAAAGAATACAAAATTTAAAATGTCTTTGGCAAAGTGTGAATCTCCAACGAAGCAGACCCTCCAGTGCCCTCTTGTCCTGTGGAACTTCTTCACTCATTTGGAATTATCTGCCTGGAACCTAAAGGCATTTGAGTTTACATCCCTTAAACAAGCACAGCATGTCTTATCATAGGTTGGTGGTTCTCAAACTTGAGTGAGCACCAGTGTGCCTCTTGGAACACTGATTAAAAATGTTGACTCCAGGACACTGCCCAGCACTTACCAAAGCTCAAACCCTGACAGTGGAGTCTGCATTTTAAACAAGTGCCCTGGGTGATTTTGACTCAGGTAGTCAGAGGGAAGCATTTCCTCCCTACCCAGCAGCGTGCTGGGCACACAGCAGAGACTCCATACAGTATGCTCTTAAGAGTGTGCCCCAAGGGGAGAAATCTGGCTATTTCTGCTATTAGACCAAACATTGGGAAAGGATACAGCATCTGTATCATCCTTACGAAAATAAGAGTCACTACAGAATCTTCAAGTGCCCCTGCTAGGTGAGATCTCAGAGATTATCTGGTCACCCACGTTGTCACTGGTAAAATTGAGGTCACATCCTTTCATTTGTTTATCAAATATTTATTGAGAACCAGCCATGTGTGAGGCCCTGTGCTCCCTAGCTTGTGCCTCTATACAGTCCTTTCTGAATCTACCTCGTTAACTGCCACTCCTGCTAAGCCTAGCAGAGTTCTGTGTGTACAGCGGATGATTCCAATGGATGGATGGATGAATGAATGAATGAGTGAATGAATGGATGAATGACAAACTCAAATGCGATTTGTTCTATGTGAAAAGTAACAATAAAAACTTATAGCCAGGTACAGAAAATGATTGGAACCTTGCAATAATCTTTTCATTTAGTTTCTCTCATATCTTGATTAATGTCATCCCTCTCCTTTCCATGTTACTGCCACACACACACATAAATGCATATTCCATGTTACTGTTTTGGGAGAAAAGATAATTATGTGTGATAGTTCCAAATTTAGGATTTACACCATTTGCCATCTTTGAGTTACGCTAACTATAGGCTAAAATTCTAGAGAAGGCTGTCATTTTATGGTACCCTATAACTTATTACTTGCTTGCTCTGTAATACTCTCTCTTCTAGGAAAATGGGTCATCCATCCCTCAGAGCTCACTTTTGTGCAGGAGATCGGCAGTGGGCAGTTTGGCTTGGTACACCTTGGCTACTGGCTCAACAAGGACAAGGTGGCTATCAAAACCATTCAGGAGGGGGCTATGTCTGAAGAGGACTTCATAGAGGAGGCCGAAGTCATGATGTGAGTGGGCACAAGGCTCTGCGGACACCTGGGGAGGGTGCTTGCTGCTGCATTATTTATGTGTCACTCTAGTCTCACACAGCGCGCCTCCCTACTCAACCCAGCAGCAGCTTCTGTTGCACAGAGAACAGTGATCCTCCTCACTCTGGTTTCGGAGGCCTGCTGCGGTCGGCCCCTGCTCACCTTCCAGCTTCGTCTTCTACTCCTCTCCCCCTGATCTGTGACACACCAGCTGCACTGCCTTTGTCTGTCTTGCAAACTAGCTGATTCCCTGCCATCTTCAGGCCTTGACTGCAATGACATCACTGTTTGCATGAGGGGGTGGATTCTCTTTTCAAAAGCCTGCATTGGACAAAGTGACATTGAGCTGTTCAGTGCTGTAAAATATTCAATACTTTTAAAAGACTGGGTTTGGCCCATCTCTCCTTGCCTTTTTCCTCCAGGAAACTCTCTCACCCCAAGCTGGTCCAGCTCTATGGCGTGTGTCTGGAGCAGGCCCCCATTTGCCTGGTGTTTGAGTTCATGGAACACGGCTGCCTGTCAGATTACCTGCGCAACCAGCGGGGGCTCTTTGCGGCAGAGACCCTGCTGGGCATGTGCCTGGACGTGTGTGAGGGCATGGCCTACCTGGAAAAAGCGTGTGTCATCCACAGAGATCTGGTACATGCGCGTGACCACTGCGGGAGGAGGAGGAAGGGGCACATCACCCTGAAACCAGAACTACCAGGACTGAGGATGCATTCACAAAAACAAACCACACGCTACCTCTCTGCCCTTCTTAGCTGCTCCTTTCTCCACCCACTTCGGGAGGTCCTGGCAGGAGAACGCTCCGTGAGCACTCAGATCTGAGCTCTCACCCCACCCTTCCTCCCACTTAGACCCTGAGTCTTGGTTTGCATTCTTCCAAAATGGCCTTAACAGCCACTCCTCCTTAGCCTTTCTGAGCCTCACTTTCCTCCTGGTAAAAGAAGGAAATGAAAAAGCCCAATTTTTCTCAGGGTTTACAGAGACCTGTCAGAGCCCGGTGCTTGAGCTCAGGAGGGTCCCTGTGGACCCCATGTGACTTCCAGGCTCTTGCACATGTGCGGCTGTGCCGCTCCCTGGAGTCTTCTGTCCCCGAAGTCCCTTCCAACCCAACCTCTGTGTGCTAATTAGGGGGCAGGTACTCCCTGCACAGGAGTAATTCTAAGAGGTCGAGCCACCTCAAAATAGTTTAGATTAATCTAATGGGAATCCGTTTCTCCCTGTTGCCCATGGTGTCAGCATTTCTATCGCATCAGGTTGTGTTCAAGCATAGCCCTGAGTAGACAACACCTGGATCCATCCTCTAATTAGGGTCCAGGAATGAAGATAAACCTACTTGTCCTAACAGAGGTCTCACACACTCCCATTCCACTTTGCACTTCCTCCTAGCAGGCGCTGGGGAAGCTCAGTTAGTGTTTGCAAAGCCCCTCCATGCCCTCGCACGGCAGCACACACAAAGCCAAGGCCCTGGTGCTGGGAGGGTCCCTCGTCACCGACATCCGCCCATAGTTCGCCTTTCTCTCTTCTTCTCCTCTCCAGGCTGCCCGAAATTGCTTGGTGGGAGAAAACCAAGTCATCAAGGTGTCAGACTTCGGGATGACAAGGTAACACAGGAACGTGGTGTCCCAAGTCTCAGCGATGGGACCCGGGCCCCCGGACGCTCTGACCTTCTCCTCCCCTGCCGTCCCCAGGTTCGTCCTTGACGATCAGTACACCAGTTCCACAGGCACCAAGTTCCCCGTGAAGTGGGCGTCCCCCGAAGTGTTCTCTTTCAGCCGCTACAGCAGCAAGTCAGACGTGTGGTCATTCGGTGGGTAACCTGCTGGCCCCGCCCCCGCGTGCCTGACTGTGGTCTGCCCCTTCCTTTGTCATATGGGGCCACTTACCCTGGTCTTCGTGGGGAGAGGACATCCCCTTGAGAGTCTGTGTGGGGACAGCCCCGAAATGTACATAGGAACCCTTCGGATTGTATTTATTCCCAGAGATTTTAAGTTGGGAGAGAAATGAAAAGTGGAAATAGTATTCTGGTAGTGTCAGTGGCTAGCGTGGATCTTCACTTCAGTGATAATGAAATTAAACCCAAAGCATTCAGCACAAATTTACAAGGAAAGCTTTAAACTGAAAAGAGGACACAAAGGGGTACACAGCTCTGACAAACATGAAACCAGTCTCCAGCAAAGAAAAGTAAGACAAAATAGAAAAAGGGCTTCACGTTAAGAAACTGGAAGGGGTACAGGTCCACTGAGGTGGATCAGACTACACACTCATGAAATAACAGAGGCCAGTTTTGTGGGGTGCCGTGGTGGACTGGGGTCCTGTTGGTCGTCACCTCTGTCCTGGTTTTGTAGCTCGGGAAGAACCCTTATGACTCATCAGTTCTTCCTGACTCTGCTTGAAGCAGTCTCAGTCATGTGAGGCTCTGCTGGAATCCAAGGTGACCCCAGGTTTAGGGGAATGAGGATTTCTGCGTAGAGCTGAATGACCCTATAATTATCTTATCTCGGTAGCCAGGGTCTCAAGGAGGGAGGAGACAGACTAAGTAAGTTAGGCCTGATAAATGCTGTTTCACCAACTTTCAGACGAGCGTTCTCTAAATGACTAACGACAGGCAGAGTCAGGAAGGATTTGATGTTACAAAGTGAGGTCAGTTTTGTTCTATTTTTAGTTACCTGTTAAGCATCTGTAGGCCCAAGTGAGTCACAATGTTCAGAAAAAACTTTTAAAGTCACTCTATGCCCCAGGAACACACACACACACACACACACACACACACACACATACACACACATCATGCTTTTAGTGGGTAACAGCTTAAGGACCCAGGAGTTTGTCTTCCGTCCCTAGGGAGGCCTCTGATTGTCATGAGGTCAAAAGCTGCAGGAGTGTGGACATTTGAACGTCAATGCCTGGAAGGCAAGGAGTTTTTTGGTCCAACATTATGTTTATGTTTCTGTGCTCAACCCTCACTAACTATTTTATTCACACAATAGCAATTTATTGAGCATCTACTATTGCCAGAGGTGAATCTAGGTGCTGAGACTCAGAAGTGCATAGGTTGTAAAAGACCTTTGTCCTCTTGGAGCTCAGTTTGCGGGGAGGGAAAAGGCAGGTAACAACTGCATAAATAAGCTAACAGACCTGCGGTGTAGTCAGGCAGGGGTTAGCAGTACTGTTCCTAAGACAGTGACGGGGTAGAGGGTAGCTGGGATGGAGGAAGAGTCTGCTCTAGGTCGTGTTGTCTGAGGAGGGAGCTTCTGAGCAGAAATGTGAGGAATGAGGGGGCTGTCACCATTCAGAGAGCCAGGGAGCAGTGTCAGCAGTCGGCAAGTACAAAAGCATGCTGTGGCCAAAGCCCAGGGGACACGGACTTGGTGAGAGAACAGAAAGCAATGCATTCGGGGTTAAAATTTCTAAAAAGTACAGATGACATGAATGAAGGGAGGAAAGAATGACAGGAGGTATTCATCCCATGTGATGGGACGCACTCAGAGCTCTTGCCGGATTCGCCTTGCTGCCTAAGTCACAGTCCCTGCACACTCAAGAAATCTGAGTCGCTTTCTTGTCCCTGAGACCCAAGACCAGACACCTCAGCTTCAAGGAGGAGAGGGTAATGCTGGGTCAGGGCAGAGTGGGCACAGCGGAGGGGTCTGTTCACTCTAGGATACCCAGAGGCTGAGAGAAGGGATGAGCTGGGAGGGAGTCAGACGCTCCTAAGCCACACCTCCAGCGACTTGCTTCTTCCAAACAGCAAGGCAGCAGCGTCGCCCTCATGTCCGGGCCTCCTCCGAAAGCCCCGCCTGTGAGCACCTGAGGCTCCAGGGGGCATTTTTCATATGAGCCACAACACAAGGCAGGCGCAAAGATACACCGGATAGCCTCTTTTATTGGGGTTACAAGAAGGTTTATACTGTGGAAGAAATTATAGACTGAGCTTGCCCTTCTCTATGGAGGGTTTAAAAAGGGATACTAATGAAAGAAACCAGGGGGGAGAAGGTGGCTAATTAAACATCTTAGGAAAAGAACTAGTTTAAAAGTCTTCAGCACTTTAGAATGTCCATTTCCAAGAGGCAAGAGGTTTGTTATTTATGAATCTTTCTGACCCATTCCTTAGAACAACCCCTCTTCACCATGTTTGGCTGCTAGTTTGTTAGCGAGGTTTAAGCCATAGGATGCACTTGGAAGCAACCGACAGCATCCTCGCTGGCTGTCCTCTCCCAGTGCACATGACTAGGAGAGTCAGGGCCTCTCAGTCCTCTCCCCATCGGTGATGAAGAGGGTCACACGCACCAAGCCAGCACCCCACAAAGGGACGCCTGGAACAATGGCCACACTGGCATGGGCACCCTCTGACGCTGAATGGGGCTTATTCGGCTACAGGGTGTCAGCCTGGGAATTTTCTGCTACATTTTTTAATTGAAGGGTTGGGCGCAAATCATCCCTGCCTAACCTGTGTTATTTGAAAACCGTCCAGAAATGAGCGTGATGGCTGGGTGCAGAGCTGAAATGGGTCAGCGAAGAGAAGTTTGGGAAAACCAAGCTGGCAAGAGACCTGGGAGGACTCAGAGCTGCCCGCCTGCCTCAGCCCACTGGACTTGGTCAAAAAGTGCCTTTTTTTCTTTTGGTCCTAGTTAACTTTGATATTTGAGCAAATCAAGGAACTTCTTTGAGCTTTGCTCAATTTCCCCATCTATGCACGAGAAGGTTTTGTATGAAAACACTTTTTTCATGCCATGCTTCAGCAGCGTTCCACCTTCAAAGTGAACCTGGCTGAACATCCGGGCATCTCGGGGCACTAAACAGTCTTCTTTACAGTCGGGCTTTGAGTGGTCAACTCCTGAGGTGTCTCTGAAGAGCCCCCAGAAATTAGGATCCAGGGAGCCTTGCCTGAGGCTCAGGACTCTGCTCCTTGAACAAGTTTCTGAGATGAATTTTAAGCAGCTGTTTGGGGGATTATAACTTGGAAAACCCCGGGTTAGCTCATGTGCTCTGCTGACCTATGAATATAAGCACAGATAAAAAGTAACGCTGGCTGTGGCCTCCTGTTGAGGGTAAAAGAATAAAAGGGATTAAATCAGAGGCAATGAATGGAAAACCAGAGATATATTTTGCTGGGTCTACAAAGTGTGTCATACAGGTTGAGTTTCTTTACCTGAAATTCTTGCAACCAAACAAATGTTTTAGATTCCAGATTTTGAAATATTTACACACCTAATGAGATCCTGTGAAGGTATGACCACATCTAAACACAAATTCATTTGCTGCATATACGCCTTATGTGCATAGCCCGAAGGTAAATTTATACAACGTTTGTTCATAATTTTGTGCAGAAACAAAGTTCTCATGCTGTGGAATTTTCCATTTTTGTGATGTCAAGTCAAGACTCAAAAAGTTTGTTTGGATTTTCAGTTTAGTTTCAGTGTAGTTTTAAAACTCAAATCAACTTCCTTTTTTTTTTTTTTGAGACAGGCTCTCCTATGCCGAGTTCTCAGTTTTAACTGTCAAGATCTGGCTTCTTTAAAAAAAAAAAAAATCAGAAAATAAGATAATCCTGAGCCCCGATTTCCCTGTCATACTTTGGCTGGCAGCCAAATCCCAGCCATCCCCTGAAGTCAAAAGTTCTGATCTCTGGTTTTCTCCAGCGCTCACCAGCTCCTGTTGTGTCACACGCCACCCATGTATATCTTGTGTACGCATTTGAGTTTCCCCCTCTCAGACTTTTAGCTGTGGCCTTTTCGTTAAGTGTAACAAAGGGCTGGGCTTGAGAATGCTTTGCTCCTAGGGAGGTTGGGAAATGTTTAGTTCCTCAAAAATTTTACAAAACAAAGAGAAAGAAAATAACAGAAAAGAAATAGAACACGCCTACAAAGCCTCGACTGTGCTTGGTACAATAATTCTATAGGTCTGGAGCAAAGGACTTGATTTCTCCTGCCAGCGAGCCTGCGGTTTCTGGAGGGAGGTGGGCTTATTCGCCGTCTGGGGACACCGCTGTTAGCTGTCTCCTGTCTGTCCTTGCTTGTAGGAGTGCTGATGTGGGAAGTCTTCAGTGAAGGCAAGATCCCGTACGAAAACCGAAGCAACTCGGAGGTGGTGGAAGACATCAGTACCGGATTTCGGTTGTATAAGCCTCGACTTGCGTCCGCTCACATCTACCAAATCATGAATCACTGCTGGAAGGAGGTCAGTAGACAGTGGTTTCCCCGGAGTTATAATACACAGTTGCAGGGTTGCCTCCTTTCCCAGAGAAAGGAACCCTTTTAGAAGGGTGGGGCGGCAGGGATGAATCAAATAGATCAGTAGGAATATGAATTTGAGAGTCTTTTTAAAATGTTTAAATTGCTATTTTAATTGTACATATTTGTGGGGTACAGTGAGATAATTCAATACATGTAATGATTCATACAATGCGTAATGTTGGAGTCAGGATTTTTAGCATATATCTCCTTAAATTTTGATTAACTGCCGGGTGTGGTGGCAGACACCTGTATTCCCAGCACTGAGGAGGCTGAGGCAGGAGGATCGTTGTGAGTTTGAGACCAGCCTGCGCTACAAAGTGAGCTCAAGACCAGCCTGAACTGCACAGAGAGACCTTGTCTCAAAACGACAAAAAACATTTTTTGATTACCCCATAGCAATTATAAATATTTATAGCATACAGTTTGATATTTTAATACATGTACATAATGTGAACTGATCAAATCAAGGTAATTAACATTTCTATCCCCTTATCATTACCATATAGTTAGAACCTTTAGGCTCTTCTCTTCTAATTATTCATTAACTATATAGTAAATATTGTGAACTAATCACCCCCCTGTGCACTAGAATGAGGAACTTACTCCTTCATCCATGTTTTGGGTCTCATACAACCCAACTCCCTCCACCCTCTGCAGCCACTAGTAATCACTGTTCTACATTCAGCCTGACTAGGTAGCATCTGTGGATGAGAAAGAACATGCAGTATTTGGTTATTTGGTGTCTGACTTATTGTACTTAATATAGTCTTCCATTTCCACCTATTCTGCTGCAAATGATAGGATATCCCTTTTTATGGATGACTCGTATTCCATGGTGCATATATACCACAAGTTTTTACCCTTTCATCTGTTGATGGGCACCTAAGCTGGTTCCATATCTTACCTGTAGTGAATTGTGCTCCAACAGACAAAGGCGTGCAGGTAGCCTCTTTGATATGCTGATTTAAATTCTGTGGATATGTTCCCCAAAGGAGGATTCCTGGGACATATTGTAGTTCTAATTTTAGTTTCTGAAGAACTTCTGTTCCGTCCTCCATCATGATTAACTTAATTCACATTCTTACCAACAGTCTATGAGTTTCCTTGTTTCATGTCCTCACTATCACTTTTTTTCCAGTCTATTAACTAGATAGATTTCCTTTCCCTAACAGAGGTAACAGCAACCTTAATTATAATTTGATTTGTTATATAACACAAGCCATAAGCATAGTTTCAAAGACAAAAATGGGGTCAGACCTCCATTTTTTATTTATTTTTTTTTTTTTATGGTGCTGGGGATTGAAACCAGAACCTTGCACATAGTAGGCAAGTGCTCTACCTCTAAGCTACATCTCCAGCCTTGGACCTCAATTTTCTGAAAGAAAATCTATAACATCGTAGAACCATTAGAGTATATGAATTAGGGGAACAGAAATTCACTTGTGCTATGAGACTATTAAAATGGCTTAAAGGTCATATTAATCTTTAATCACTCACAATTTGTAATTGCTCTGTCTTCCCACAGACAGCTCAGTTACCCTGTGCTTGAATTTCAGGCTGGGCCTTCACCACAGCAGCACACGTCTTAGATATTTCTGATAAACTAGAAAGCTGTGAATTGTTGCCAGAAGTGGAAAGTTGCTGAAGTAGAGTCAATGAAAATTTAGATCATTGAAAGGCAACAAGGCAGAATTTTTTTAAAAGTAGATACAAGGAGAACATTTAGATTTTGTCCAGCTTTACCACATCTTTATCTTGGACACTTCTCTGAACCTCTTTTTTCTTTTTTTTTTTTTTTTCCTTTTCTTTTCTTTCTTTCTTTCTTTTTTGTATCAGGAATTGAACTCAGGACCTTGTGAACCTTCTTTTTTCTGTTTTTAAGATAAGTAAATAATGTATCATCTGTAAATTCGTAGAGCTTTTATAACCAGGAACAAACAGTAAAGATATAAACAAGAGCACAAAGCTATAATGTATGTAACATACGGCAGGAGGAGGGGACCAGCAAAGGCCACCAGGCTATGTAAAGGCAACATGGCGTGGAATTTATTGTGCCTGGGTGCAGGCAGGCAGAGAACGGGATAATACTGTCTGCCCCGAACAAAGAGAAATGTATCCCTATTATAGGGATGCAGAGAAGGCAGGGAACGTAAGGCAGGAAGATCCTAATAAACATCTGTGGTCAAAGTTCTCTGGCGGTCTTGTACCTCAGTGGGCAGAGTCCTTGAAGTGTCCAGCGTAAGTTCTCAAGTGTCTCCAGATGTTTCCAAGTGTCCCCAGGACCTGCAGAATGTTTTGTCCTATCTTATCTCCTCCACAACATCCTGTGTTTGCTGATGACAGCCTCAGTGCTGAGCTGAATTCCCTGCAGAGAGTCATGCTTCTCGGTCAAGCAAGAGGGGGGCTGGGAGAGTCAGGGCTGGTTGGAGCCTTACAAAAACAAATCTTGGTCACTTCATCAGGATTAAATAACACTGTAATAGCCAATAACTGGTATTGCATATATTTTTCTCTTGAAACTCTGTTCTAATCAATAGACTTTATTTTTTAAGAAGTTTCCAGTTTACAGAAAACTGAACTAAGAGTGCAGAGAATTCTTGTATATTCTTCTCCCCAGTAGTTTTCTCTAATTAACATTTTGCCTGAGTATGGTACATTTGTAACAATTAACCAACCTCTACTGCTACATTATTGCTAACTAAGGTCCACAGTTTACCTTAAGGTTCACTCTTGGTGCTGCAAAGTTCCGTGGGTTTTGACAAATGCTTAATGCCAGGTATCCACCATCATAGTATCATATAGAATGTGAATTCTACATGATAGAACCATATAGTATCATGTAGAATTCTCTGTCCTAAATTTCTCCTGGGCAATTCTTCCATGACCAAACTCCTGGCCACCACTGATTTGTCCCCATACTTTGGCTTTTCCAGAATGTCACATGTAGGAATGATACAGTGCATAGCCCTTCTAGGCTGGCCTCTCACATTTAGTAATACGAATTTAAGGTGGCGTCATGTCTTTTCTTGGTCTGACAGCTCCTTCATATTGCTGAATAATATTCAACTGTATAGCTACATCACTGTTTCTTTCCATTTAGCAGCGAAAAGAAATCTTGGTTGCTTTCAGTTTTCAGCAATTATAAATAAAGCTGCTATAAACATTTATATGTAGATGGATCCATGTATGTGGATCTATTTACGGTCATAAATTTTCAACTCAGTTCGGTAAATACCTGGGAGTGTGCTTGTGGATCACATGGTAAAGCTGTGTTTAGCTCCAGGCTGTCTTCCATGGTAGCTATTCCATTTTATCCATGTCATTACTTTGTGTGTTGTCACCAGTCATTTTCAGAGCCATGTAGTGGTTCTTCCTTCTGGTTTTAATTTGCATCTCCCTAGTGACGAGTGATGTCGTGCATCCTTTCACATGCGTATTTGCCCTCTGTGCGTCTTCTTGGTGAAACGTCTATTCAGTTGTTTGGCCCATTTTTCAACCAAGATGTTTGTTTCCTTATTGTTGAGTTTTAAGAATTCTTCGTATATGTTTGTATACAAGTTCTTTATTATATGTTTTGCAAATATTTTCATCTAGTGTATAATTTATCTTTTCATTCTCTCAGCGGTGTCTTTCTCAGAGCAGTTTTTAATTTAACAATGTTCAACATCAACCTTTTGCTTTCATGCACTGTGCTTTTGGCATTGCACCTAAAAACTCCTTGCAAAACCTAAAGGCACCGGATTGTTTCCTATGCTACTTAATGGAAGTTGCGTAGTTTTGTATCTTAGATTTCATTCTGTTATCCACTTTTGAATGAGTTTTTGTGAAAGGTGCAATGTGTTTTGCTAGAATCACTATTTTGATACGGATGTCCAATTATTCTAACACGGGTTTGTCAAAAAGACTTTCTTTTCTTCTTTGTTCCTTTATCAGGGGTTGGTTTGCTAGATTTCTGTGGATCTATTTCTGGCCTTTCTAGTCTGTTCCATTGATCTATTTGTTTATTCTTTTCACCAATACCACACTGACGTGATTACTGTAGCTTCACAGTAAGGCCTGAAATCAGATAGTGTCAGTCCTCCAGCTTTTTTTTTTGTCACGATCATATTGGCTCTTTGAATCTTTTGCCTCACATATAAATTTTAGAATCAGTTTTGTCAGTACCCATAAATAACTTTCTGGGATTTTGACTGGAACTGTGTTGATCAAGTTTTGAAGAATTGCCATCATAACTATCAACTTCCTGTGCATGAACTTGAAATATCTTTATATTTATTTAGGTCTTCTTTGATTTCTTTCATTAAAATTTTTATAGTTTTCCTCATAAGGATCTTGTGACATTTTTTGAGACTTACACCTAAGTATTTCTCTTTTTTGGTATTATCTAACACTAATTTTATGATGCATTACTACACATGATTTATTTAATTCTCAGAACAATTTCATGAGGTAGGCTTTATAATTGCATTTCCTTTTTCCAGATGACAAACACAGGCTCAAATAGGTTGAGTAACCTGTCATCCAGCTAAGAGAAGTAAAGTTTTTGAGGTTTAAAATCAAGCTGTCTGATTGCAGAAAACCTGGTGTTAACAATGAGGGCATAGTGCCTCCATTCAAACCGATAGAGGTGTATTTTAAAATTAGCAGAGGACACTGTTATTGATGTGGTTTGCTTCGGATTCAGCTATGATAGATAAGTACAAGGAACTCACAGAGCTCTCTCTCTTCATCTCCAGAGACCAGAAGACCGGCCACCCTTCTCCAGACTATTTGGACAACTGGCTGAAATCGCAGAGTCAGGACTTTAGTAGAGACTCACTGCCAGACCACGGACTGAACCTCCTGAGTGGAGGAAGAATGTCCTCCTTCCACGGAGCATTAAAAGCTGTCACACCAGCCCAGGACTTCCCAGAGGCAGGCGGCTCAGCCATGGAGCTGAGGACCAGGCCAGCACCGCAGTGACGTCCCCGCACCCTGCTGGCCTCCTGTCACAGAGTGCACAAGCTTCGGTCTGACAGCTTTCAGGAAACATTTCTTGCACTTCTTGGTGATAGCGAGAGACAGATGAAGACTCCAGGTTCTTATTTTTATTAGTATTTTAAGCCTGGATCTCAAGTTGATGGCTCAAGGGACTTTTTATTTGACCAGATGTAATATCCCAGTATATAAGCATGGCCCTTCTTCTAAGAAAACCAGTGAGTTGATTAAGGCCAGGAAGAGTGTTCTGTAGCTGCACCTTTGTCAGCCACAGCTTCCTGCCCCTGCTGAGCTAAGTGAGCACCTTCTCACACCAAAGGCCGGATGTGCTGAGAGGCAGCTTTCTGAGGTTTTCTGAGCCCGCTGCCGTCTCTGTCCTTCATGCAGCATGGTGAGTGCCATTGGATGCATTGGGGTGAACCATCAGCATCCCTTAGTTGGACCACTGGGTATTTGACGTCCAGACAAGAATAGGAGAGTTTCTAAGAGTGGAAAACCAACGAGTACCAAGCAGGCCTTCAATTCTTACCACTCCAACTCTCCCATTTTATACCAAGCCACTCAAGTGACAATGCCTCCTCATCTGTGCAGAACGAGGAGGGAATAGCTACTTCTGAACCCTCATCTTTAACGCCTTTGGCAGCCAGCCCCTTGTCTGCACTATCCCACCCACGCCAACAGAGGGCAGCATTGTGCTGGGTGGCCCTGCAGAGAAATTGAAGGTTGCTTAGGCCTTCAGGGTTAGCAGCGTTAAGGTCAAGACTTCAAGGCTCCCAAACTTCTAGGCGAGGAATTAGGAGTTTGTTCTTCCTCAGACTGTCTGGATGGGAACTGAGTCAAGCACCGATTGGGATACTTCCAAGACGTTCGAGTACGTCTGATGTTGACTGAGCACTTGTATAGGCAAAGCGAATGTACGCTGGGCTACAAGATATTCCTACAGGATCTCAGTTCACCAAGTTTTGATACCAACCCCTGGAGATAGTATTATTATCTGTTATCCCCATTTTCCACATTGTGTAACTGAGTCCTTAAAAAGCCATGTTACCTGCCCGAAATGACGGAACTGGGAAGTACAGAGCTGGGATTCTTGTCCAAATCAGTCTTGCCGGAGTGCAGATTTTTTAATCTTATTCAACACTGCCTCCTGCTGAGAATGAAGAGAATTGCAAAGGAGATCGACATTACAGAGGAGAAAGACCTCTCATTGACCACCAAGACAAATCAATGTATCACCATCAGTGAGTAATCTTGCTTGTGCACAGACCACGAAGGTGAGCAGTGCAGCCCTCCAACTTGGAACAGGACCTTCACTCTTTTCACCTTCACCTTGATCACAGTTAATGACTTTGGAGTCACTCAGTTAATTAACTTTAATCTTCCCAGCTCAACAGTCAGTTTGCATAAAGCCATTTATAGATGAGCTTTAAAGCAGCTTTAAAAATTCTACTGCAGAAGCATACCTTTGCCCTCTAATTATCATTCTAGCTTTGAGCGTTGTCATCTTTCACACCTCATGGGGAGGGGTATTCCATAACACGAGAGACTTGGTTTTCCTCGAGTGTTCAGATAAAGCTCTTAGAAAAATTATCGCTAGTGTTGCAATCAGCTCTTTCTAAGTCCTGCAATATTTTGACTGGCTTGAGATACAGATATATAACTTTTAACTATAATTCTTGTGAGACAGAGAGCCTTAAGATAAAATATCGTTCTGAAGATGATTTTGCTCAACTTATCCACAATCATCCCCGTTTACTTTCCAGCATTTTGTACATTCTCTTTTGGAAACCTTAACTAGGGGTGATTTCTGGGATAGCCAGCCAGGAAGAAAAACAATAGAATTGACTGATCTCTGTGATTTGGTTTAGAAAAATTCCCCTGGTATGGTATTATCTTTTTTCAGCTCAGATTCATGCCTTTAACGGAACCCGTGTTACTTCCTCATACCCAATATTTGGTGTCACAAAATGGGCTTCTCGCCTGCTGTTTGTCCCCCTCACATTTTGAAAATGATGCCCTTTCCACAGAGAATTCCTCTATGCAAAGTTTTAGTTGTAGTTGCGTTTTGTATATCTTGTATTTTGCATCCTTTGTGACTATGTATTTATATGTGGATCAGATGACTATTTATTAGTATACGATCACTGCTACCGTTCAAAATACAAATGAAAGTATCCCTTATCCTTTGTAGAATGCAGCAAGTCAAAAAAACTGCCTTATGGCAAATAAAGCTGTGTATGTTTCAACAAATATAGTGTGTGTGGCTTGGGTTCCATATTTCCCAAATGGCTAACTCCAAAACTTTGCTTAAGTAAAAATGGCCATGTGGTTTCATCTTCCACAAATAGGTGAAGACTAGACAGTCAACAACATTCATTCAACATATAATTATCAAATACTTCATACATGTGTCATACGCCCTGCACAATGATGAAACACAGCTGAAAAAGGCAAAACTCCCAGTCTGATTGACACGTAAACGAGTACAATTGTAGTACTGCACTGACAGCAGCAGGGGCAATAGGGTCAGAGAAGTCATAGGCCTGGAGAAAGAGTCATGGAACCTACCAGGACAAGGACAGCATCAGGGACAACTTCTTAGAACCTTGCTACTCAGTGTGGTCCCTGGACCAGCGGCAACGGCATCGGCGCCTTGTGCGAAGGGCAGTCGGCCAAGCTTCTTCCTCACTGTCAGGCAAGAATCTGGACTTTGACACTGTCCAGGTAATCACATGCTTGTGTAAGTTTGAGAAGTACAGTCGTAAAGGATCTGTCTGAGTTTTGGAGAGAAAATGTATAGATGAAGCAACAAATACTTTCCAGACAGAGAGAACAGAATATTTTGGGAAGCTATTCGTTCAGCATTCCAGAACACATGAATGTGTCTCTCTGTGTGTTCTACCAGGGTGCGGATGAGAAGGGGTAGGTAAGTTGAAATTTAAGCTATATATCTAGGCGTATTTTTAAATCCCCCAAAAGGTAAAATTTTACCCTGTAGGTAGAAATGTCACTGAGCAAGGTAAGAAGATCAAAGTTTAATTTAAAAATGTGTTCTACCAGCAATGGGGTGAATAGATTTGACAAAGGCAAAGCTGGTGGAAGAGAAATCAGTTCGAAGATGATTATTTTTCCTGCTGACAGTACCAGGTTATTGTTCACACTTGTGCACTGTCATCTGCTGTGTGGGCGATGTGTGGAAATGTGTAATTCAGAGTCCTCCAGTCGCTGCTGGACAGCAATAAATAGCTGTTCCCTTTTCTCTTGAAATTCCACTGCAGTGAGAGTTGTGTTGCTACAATTCGGGTGTGTTGAGCACTGTGTTTACCATATGCTCGTGTCCGTTGTGGGAGTCAGATCATGCACCGTGGACCACTGGGTATGGGGAAGAAAGGCTGTGACTTCTCTTCAGTCTGTCGAAGGACTCACTGCGGGGCTTGACCCCCGCTGACAATAATCCACAGGGGAAAGTGCTAAGGTAGGCTGAGGGAACTCATTGTGTGTCCCTATGATCCCATTCTCCCTGAATCTCTCCGCACACAAGCCCACCATTCTGAGAAAGGGACAGAATATACCTCGTTCTACTGAGTAAGGAGTGTGTGTGTGTGTGTGTGTGTGTGTGTGTGTGTGAGAGAGAGACAGACAGACAGACAGACAGACACAAAGAGACAGAGAGAGGATTGTAAAAAAGAGCTATGAATTCCCTAGTTAGAAGGATTTGAGACTGTGACATCATCAGAAAGAGAAGATTGAAGGGAGAAGTTTATTAGCGCAATAAACACATGTTTTTATGTTAGAGCACATATTAATTTAGCGTAGTTTTAAAAGAATTCCTAGAAATTGGGTTTCCCATAGCCCACTCTCCAGAGCCATCTCTTGCGTGTGTGTGTGTGTGTGTGTGTGTGTGTGTGTATGTGTGTGTGTGTGTGTGTGTCTATCACAACTTTGAGGTTTTCTCCCAGCAAGAATGCATCATTGGCTTGTAGGATAACAGAAACACAGATACTATTGAAAGTTTTAGAAATCATTTATTTATTTCACCTACTATGGTTCTGTATTAAGTGGAGGGTTTAGAAAGGTGAATACAGCATCCATTAGGTAACAAACACATCCCAAATTAGGATAATTTATGGACAGCATATTTACAAAAGAGCTATTTGAAACGTGGTTGAGGCTTAGGAGTGCCTAATGAAGTGGCACAGAGGAAAATAAACACTGGGGAGCGGCGGTGCGGTTCACATGTTTGTGTCTCCCCACCATTCATAATCCAAAGTCAGTAGTATTAAGAAGAGCTGCCACTGCCCATCTCTTTGCACCTTTTGGAGACAGTTAGGTCATGAGGACCCCAGCCTTACGAATGGGATTAATGACTTTATAAAAGGACATGAAGGACTTTTTCTTTTTGCTCTTCTGATCTCCACCACATGAAGACACAGCACATGGCACCCTCTATGGAGCAGACAGCAAACCCTCAAGAGACACTCAGTGTTCTGCAAATTTGATCACAGACGTCCCAGCCTCCACAACTATGAAAAGTAACTGCATGTTGTTTATAAGTTATCAGCCCCAGGTATCTTGTGATAGCAGTCCGAACGGACTGAAGTGAGGAATTAGCAGCCATAGGCCCTAAGGAATGAGGAAGGGAAGTGGTCTTTTGAATGTGGAAGGAGTCAGCTGGAGAACATTGCCTTGAAAGGAAAGAACTTTAGTAGTAGACAGATGAAGCTCAAGGCAACAAACATACAGGGACGAACATGCCCCTGCTCACCCACCTCAATTGTTAGAACTTCTGGATGGTTCAACCCAATTGAAGGCAAAAGGACTCAGGAGCTGGAGCACGGCAGTCCAGAGAAGTCAGGCTCCAAGATCACGAGAGCAAGGTGAAAAGGCTGCTGCAGACACAAGCCCTTCTTCTAAGAAGCTTGCAGGCTAGGAAACTCTTCCAGCACATAAACGTTGGTCCTTATTATATGTGGATTCTGTATTTGCAAATTTGCCTATTTGCTAAAATTTATTTTAGCCCAGAAACCAACACTTGAGGGGTTCTGTTTTGGTCTGATTCTCCTGCAATCATTCGTGCTGTGCCTACACATAGAACAGTGCAATTTTGTGTTGCTCTATGTGCTCATTCCCAGCTGAGGTCAAAGAAGGCAATGTTTTCGTTTCCCACCTTGTGCTGTAAACAAGTGGTCTTTTTGTAGTCTATTTGGTGTCACATTTTTGTGCTTTTTAATGGGTGATTTTACTGCTTAAAATGGCCCAAAATGTAGTGGTAAAGTGCTGTTTACTGTTCCTAAATGCAAGCACATTGTGATGTCTTACATTAAAAAAATAACTACTGGATAAGCTTTGTTCAAGCATGAGTTCTAGTTCTGTTGACCATGTACAATGTTAATGAATCAACAATATATATATAAAGGAGGTTATTTTAACAGAAGTGTGCATAAAGCAAGATTATGTATTCACTGGTTGACAAATCGGGTCTGTTCTGACCAGAAGCTTGTAGGAAACTAACATATGCTCCTGAGGAGCAGCGTCAGTGTTTGCTAGCTCATTGTTCGTGCTAGCTTTATAGAGATAACTTCTGCATAACAGCAGTGAACTGCAATTGCAAAGGGTTGTTGTAGGTTACTTCATGGAGATGTGGTCCTAGCACAGTGAGAGACAGACAACCAAGTAAAAGCACCTGAGGGGCCTTCCCCGAGGATGTGTGAAAGGCAACTGGAGGCTCCCGAGTAGGAACGCCCTCCCTTGGGAGAAGGCCGAGAAGGACATTTCAAGCAGAGAAACCGGCATGCATCAAAGCACGTCTTCCTCCATCTTCTCTCCCTGGATTGTGTTTATGTTAGGACTAAAAGCCTTGAGGTCCAAGCCAACAGATCCCGGCCACAATTACAGGAGGGAGAATTTGTGGAAAGAGCAAAGGAGATTATCCGTGGTCCTCTAGGCTGGAGCCCGCACCATGTGCAGCGGCCATAGCCAAACTCTTTGCATTTTTTCAAAGACTGATTTTGAACCTGAGACAATACAAACTTTCCTTTGCTTTTCTGTTCTGTCTTTCTTAAAGCACTTTCACATCTAAGGCTGTGTTTGATCTTTATAGCAATTTGAGGATGACACTGGGAGCGAGGTCTTATTTGACAGAGGAGGGAAGTGATATACAGAGACACTTAAGTGACACAGGGGCGGTAGAGTTACTTAGTCCACCTGAGACTGAACTCAAAGCTTATGCCAAGTCCTGCTTGTCCCTAGGAATTACACCAAAATTCAAATCTTTTTTTAATTAAAGAGAGAAAAAAAGCAATAAAAATGATACAGAACTTCAAAACAAGATGATAGGAAATTAACAATGGCTATTATATTGCATAGTGTGTGCTTGCTTCGGCAGCACATATACTAAAATATATTGCATATTGTTATCTTCAAGGAGTTCCTCAGATTACCAGATATAGGCATGTAAAATCAACCAAACAATAAAAGCACTAACTGTTCCTTTCAATGAACTAATAGAAATTAGTAGTACAATTATCTTAGCTATCTTGTGTATGTATGTATATTTTTCCCCTTCCTTCTTTTCTCTTTTCCCCCATCCAGTTGTTCTTTCCTTTTCAGCAATTTCTTATCCTTTCACCATATCTATTGTACCTTTTGGATCTTATTTACTCTTTCAGTTTTTTTATACTAGGGAGACAATACAATGTTTACACATGTGAGCCTGATTTATTCACTTATGAGTATGATCTCTAGTTTCATCCATTTACCTATAAAAGCCTCATGTTTATCTTTCTTTATAGCTGAGCAGTACTCCATTGTAGAAACATACCATATCTTTTTTATCCATTCCTTGGTTGATGGACATTTGGGTTGTTTCCAAGATTTAGCTGTTACAAATTGCGCTGCCATAAACATGGGTACCATATATTGCTATGGTATGATGTTTTCATTTCTTCTGGGAAGATAACCAGAAGGGGAACAGCTGGGTTAAGTAGGACCTCTAATTCTAGTTTTTTTAAGGAATTTCCAGGCTGATTTCCATAGTGGTTGTACCATCTACACTCCCACCAACAATAGAGAAGTGTTCCTTTTTCCCCACAACCCCACCAGCATTTATTATTGGTTGATTTCTTGATGATAGCCATTCTTTCTGGGGTGAGAGTGACTCTCAGTGTTGTTTTAATTTGCATTTCTTCAATGACCAATGATGTTGCACATTTTTTCATATATTTATTTGCCATTTGTATTTCTTCATCTGA